TAAATCCCAACAACTACAACTCCCAAATGTGAAGGCCTATTTTCCTCAGACTCCACCAGTGTTCACATTTGGGCATATTGAGTATTATTATTATTATTATTTGCTTTATTTCTATACCGCATTTTTCAGCCTAATTAGGCGACTCAATGCGGTTTACACAATACAGGTTATCACAACAATATCCTAAGCGATTAAAACACATCATATACAGCAGACAAAATCAACAATCATTATCATATCATAACGCCTCAATAACAAATCAGAATCCGTTCTCATAATCCTTGTACCATTTCCTATGTTCAATTTTACCGTCTTCCTGTGTTCAGTTGCACTGCTTAGCCAAACGCTTGTTCGTAGAGCCAGGTCTTAACCTTCCTCCGGAACGCCAGCAGCGAAGGGGCCTGTCTGATGTCTACAGGTAGGGCATTCCATAGCTGAGGGGCCACCACCGAGAAGGCCCTGTCCCTCGTCCCCGCCAACCGTGCCTGTGACGCAGGCGGGACCGAGAGCAGGGCCTCCCCGGATGATCTTAATGTCCTGGTCGGTTCATAGGTGGAGATGCGTTCGGAGAGGTAAGTAGGGCCAGAACCGTTTAGGGCTTTATAGGCTAAAGCCAGCACCTTGAATTGTGCCCGGTAGCAGATTGGCAGCCAGTGGAGCTGGCTCAACAGAGGAGTGGTATGCTCCCTGAGTGCTGCTCCCGTTACAACCTGGCTGCCGAGCGCTGGACCATCTGAAGCTTCCGGGCAGTCTTCAAGGGCAACCCCACGTAGAGCGCGTTGCAGTAATCTATACGGGATGTAACCAGAGTGTGGACTACCATGGCCAAGTCATGCCAAGTTTGGTCCAGATCTATCATTGCATGAATCCACAGCACTCCTCTGGACATAGGTGAACTACAATTCCCAAACTCAAGGTCAATGCCCACCAAACCCTTCCAGTGTTTTCTGTTGGTCATGGGAGTTCTGTGTGCCAAGTTTTGTTTAAATCCATCACTGGTGGAGTTTAGAATGCTCTTTGATTGTAGGTGAACTATAAATCCCAGCAACTACAACTCCCAAATTACAAAATCAATCCCCCCCAACCCCACTAGCATTCACATTTGGGCATATTGGGTATTTGTGCTCAATTTAGTCCAGTGAATGAAAATACATCCTGCATATCGGATATTTACATTACGATTTATAACAGTAGTAAAATGACAGGTATCAAGTAGCAACGAAAACAATATTATGGTTGGGGGTCACCACAACGTATGGAACTGCATTAAGGGGTCACAGCATTAGCAAGGTTGAGAACCACTGTTCTAGAGGGATTTCTCCTGACGTTTCGCCTGCATCTATGGCAAGCATCCTCAGAGGTAGTGAGGTCTGTTGGAACTAGGCAAATCTGGCTACCAGTATTAAAAAACTCTAAAATTAGATCAGCACAACAACAGACAGGAAACAAACAAGGACATCGAATCACCTCTCAACAAAGGATTGCTCCAGGCACTGCCAGGCAATCAAATGCTAATCAAGGTGGTCAGTTGAAACATTCACACCTAACTCCAGCAGACAAGAGTCCTTTGTCTCACCCTGGGCATTTCACAGATATATAAACCCTTTTGCCTAGTTCCAACAGACCTCACTACCTCTGAGGGTGCTTGCCATAGATGAAGGCGAAACGCCAGGAGAGAATGCCTCTAGAACATGGCCATATAGCCTGAAAAAACCTACAACAACCCGGTAGTTTGTTTGCTTGGAAGGTGGATCTACTTAGCTTTGCTCAATGCTGTTCAACGGGCCTGGGCAAACTTGGACCTTCCCTCCAGATGTTCTGGACTTCAACTCCCACCATTCTTAACAGCCTCAGGCCCTTTTCTTTTCCCCTTCAGCCACTTAAGCTTGGTTGTCCATGTGATGGATCTTCTTCCAGCAGCTCAGAAACAAACTGTACACTCAGACTTTTCTTAGCAAGCTGCTGCACAGAAAACCTAAACATGTAACCGTTGCCAAAACTTCCAGGCTCAGCTAGCCTCCCGGACATGGCTCAACCAATCAGCTTCGTGCTTTGCATTTTTCAGTTAATACACTCACCAACTGATGTTTACATGCTTCAACAATACACTCCACTTGACTCATTTCCAGCAGACCTCTGAAGATGCCATTAGCCACAGATGCAGGCCAAATTTCAGGGGAGAATGCTGCTAGAACATGGCCATACAGCCTAGAAAACTCACAGTAACCCAGTGATTCCAGCTAAGAAAGCCTTTACCAAAATAGTTACAAAAGACTATTAAAAGGCCTATGATAAGAAAAGAGAAGACAATTATGTTGGGGGAATAGGAAGGAAAAAGGAAGAGGAACCAACCAAGGGCAAGATAGATGGATGGCATCCTTGAAGTGACTGGATTGACCTTGAAGGAGCTGTGGGTGGTGACGGCCAACAAGGAGCTCTGGCGTGGGCTGGTCCATGAGGTCACGAAGAGTCGGAAACGACTGAACGAATGAGCAACGATAAGAAAGTTAGGGTCTGGCTATCAACTCTCTCTGGAAACATATCTCTCTACATGCTCACAGGAGAATCAAGGGACTTAAGCAGCTGAGGGGGAAAAGGAAGGGGCCTGAGTCTGTTAGGAATAATGGGAGTTGAAGTCCAAAGCACCTGGAGGGAAGCCTATACTGTAGAACCATGAAAGTTGTAGCTTTGCTAACTGTCTCTGCCCAAGAGTGCTGTTGGTGCCTCACCAAAACTACATCTCCCACGATCCTATAGCATTGAGCCAAGGCAGCGGAAGTGGTGTCAGACGGCCAGAGGCGGCCCAAGCTAATTTTCAACGGTAAGCAAACAGTATTTTGCTGCCCCCCCCCCCCGCCCCACCAATCACTGATATATATTTTCTGTTCGTCGTGGGAGTTCTGTATGCCATATTTGGTAGGTGAACTATACATCCCAGTAACTACAACTCACATATGTCAAGGTCTATTTTCCCCCAAGAGTGCCCCAAGAGCATCCCTGGGTAAAATCAACTGTACTGCGATTGCTTACTTTGCGTAATGGGTTGAGCCACCCCTGCAGACGGCATCAGTTTTACAGTGCGGATGCACCTCCACTCATCTGAGGCTTGCAAACAAAAAGGTGGAAGTGAAAACACTTTCAAAAGAGAGTTGGAACAGTTTCTGCTTTATGGTTTGTGGCTGGAAGCTAGGTACAGCCTTGGGGAAGTTGCACAAATGGCTTTCTGGGGATCTGTCTGTAGGAATAGTGCAGTTTGACTTTACTTGGAACTGCGATGGTATCCTAGAAGTTGTAGTTTTACAAGATCTTCAGCCTTCTCTGCCAAAGAGTGCTGATGCCCCACCAGTAGGTTAAACTCCTGTGCCAGCAGGACTGAAGACCAACAGGTTGCAGGTTTGAATCCGGGGAGAACACGGATGAGCTCTCTTAGCAGCTCCAGCTCCTCATGCAGGGACATGAGAAAAGCCTCCTACAAGGATGATGATAAAACATCAAAACATCTGGGCATCCCCTAGGCAACGTCCTTGCAGACAGCCAATCCTCTCACACCAGAAGCGATCTGCAGTTTCTCAAGTCGCTCCTGACGCAACAAAAAATCCCTACAAATCCCAGCATTCCCTACCGTGGCAGTTAAAGTAGAGTCACGCTGCATTAATTCTGCATTCTAGATCTAGATCTACACTGCCCTATATCCCAGGAAATCATCCCAGAGTTGCGGTGGCGCAATGGGTTAAACCCTTGTGACGGCTGAACTGTTGACCTAAAGACATGAAGATCGACCATTTGAATCCAAGAAACGGGGTGAGCTCCCATCTGTCAACCCCAGCTTCCCATGCAGAGACATGAGAGAAGCCTCCCACAGGATGGCAACACATTCAGGCATCCCCTGGGCAATGTCCTTGCAGACGGCTGATTCTTTCACACCAGAAGCAACCTGCAGTACTCTCAATTCGCTTCTGACACAATAAAAAAATCCCTGATGATCTGATAGTGTAGACTCATATAATCCAATTCAAAGCAGATAATCTAGGATCAGATCCTGGGCTATAGGGCAGTATAGACCCAGCCTAGGTATTCCAGCTTGCGGCTATGAAAGTCTAATGAGACTGATTTACAGTGAGTTTCGGATCAATGAAAGAAGCAACCGTTTGGAGATGAACTGGCATGAGATATAGCAATGGCAAACAATGACTTGTATAGCTTTCGCAAGAAAAAAAATGGAGAACGGACCTCTTTATATCCCAGTTTAAGAGATGGCAGGGGGAAATTGATAGAGAGTGTTGCTTTTTCCTCTTATAGACATAGCAAACCATGACCGCAAATGACCAAGAGCAGTATTTAAGAGAAAACCTGCAAAAGGAAATGCTCTGCTTTACTTTCCAGAAATAACCTGGTTTTCCAAACATCCCATGCTCAAAAATGCAATGTAGTCAGAGCCAGGCTGTGGTGACCACATAATTATTACTGCCAAGTGATGCAGAAAAAGCTGGAAGAATATATTTAGCATTTTTCTTCTAACATTGTTGAACACCCCATGAGTGCTGCCTAGATTTACCAGAAATATACTAAGACTTCAGACATTGACCTGCTGGATTGCCATCTGAGTAAATCTACCAAGGATTATTTTGCACATTTTCATGAATCTTTATTACTGCGAACTGGACGATCAATATACTGTATTATTAAATTTCCTTTTTTTTCATCACATGACATAACAGAGATTCTATTTTGCTTATCACGGCAGAATTGTAATATGATTCAGACCAGTATCTGGAACCCAACTAATCTATTTTCAGTGATGAAATTAAATTACTAGAAAGTTGCATACAATTTTAAAAGAATCTTACAGGGACCGAATGTAAGAGATTTCTGATGAAGAGGTTTTCAGCAAATAAATGAATTTGTCTTTAAGATAATCCAAACCAGATGTATTTTTAATAGCATCCACTGAGAAATCCTTTGCAGAAATTGAATGCTTGCTTCACTGAAAAAGCAGGCTTTCAAAAGCCAGTTTTAATATATACATCTTCTTTCATCATAGAGCTGGAAAAGACCCCAAAAGACATCCAATCAATCCCCCTGCCATATAGAAATAAACAATCAAAGCACTCCCAACAGATGGCCATCCAGCTTCTGCTTAAAAATCTCCAGAGAAGGAAATTCCGCCACACTCTTTTCCTGTTGTTTGAATCCATCACTCTGTGCCCTAGTCTTCTTGGTATGCAAAAAATCCTGCAGTGTAGTGCAGTGCAGATATATCCTAATATAAAGCTATATAAAGCTAATAGAACAAACAGATTTGTTGTACTGAACAGGGAAGGGGCTGCAGTGGTGCAGTGGGTAAAACCGCTGAGTTGCAGAACTTGCTGACCAGAAGGTCAGAGGTTCGAATCTGTGGGACAGGGTGAGCACTCGTTGTTAGCTCCCATTTCCGCCAACCTAGCAGTTCAAAAACATGCAAATGTGAATAGATCAAGCATGAAGGTAATGGCGCTCGATGCAGTCATGCCAACCACTCTTCGGTTTAGAAATGGAGATGAGCACCACCTCCCAGAGTCAGACACAACTAGACTTAATGTCAAGGGGAAACTTTTACCTTTACTGAACAGAGAATCCAGAATTGCAGAAAACAGTGGAAGAGTTGGAGAGGAACCAAAAACCCATCTAGAACAATGACTTGCCAGTGCAGGAATCCACAGCTGACGTTTTTCTCAGGGATCACTTTCAAATCGCTAAAAACTCCAGTTTCCGAGATAGTCTTTTTCACTGCTGAACAGCTCACAGAAACTCTCCCAAACATTTAGGTAGAATCCACTGTACTAGTTTGTATTTTCAGTTCACCAGTTCAAATTCTGTTCTTTAGAACAACAGAAAACCAGCTCACTCCATCTTCCACATGAAAGACTTTCATCTCTTGTGTCATCTCTCAGCGTTTTCATCTCCAGGCTCAGTACACTCAACTTCAACCTTTTCCGCTAGAGCTTGGTTTTCAAATCTTTTACAGTCTTGGCTGCCCTCCTTTGGATAAATTCCAGCTTTTTTCTTCTTAAACTGTGGTATCAACATAGTAGTCCAGGTGAGGTCAAACCAAAGAAGAGAGTGGAATTCCTACTTAGACTACCTGTACTTAGAATACCTGTCAGCTTATCTTAATTTTGTACAGAAAAAAGTGAGCATTTCAGTATCCAAGATATTATCTAAACAAAATCCTACCTGCTTGTTGTAACACTTCCTTTCATCCAAAATAACTCATCAGGAATCGGTGATTGCTAAATGCATATATTCATGCATATATACACTTGTTCAAGCATTACAATCAGCACGGACTTGGCCACTGGTTTGAATGCAAAATGAAAGTCATTGTAGTTGCAATCCTACAACAGATTTACTAGAGAATTAGTCCCATTGAATTAACTTTTATCTGAGTACACATGTACAGGATTACGCTGTAAGAGGCCTAAACAAGTCAGTTACTCATACTTAGCCTACTTCACAGTGGTGAGACAAAGCTGTTTTGAGTTCCTTGAAAAATGGATATGTAAATATAATTCATGGGAGAAGCAGTAAAGACACTTTTTAAAAAATGTGAAATGCCAACAGACTCGGAGTGAGGGATTTACGAAGCTTTGGTTTCACAGAATGCATCAGTTTTCCTGAAGCTAATGGTCACAAACAACCAAAAACATTGAAATTTGGATAGCATAACAATTCTGACATATTTTAAGAATGTAACATTATATCCAGCACCTGACATAACCATCATATTAAACTGTTATGATTTCTTAGTGCATCTGCTTGGCCCATAATACATCCTTAGCAGCTATTTGTTCCTCTCCTGGCAATTGCTCCAGAAGTTTTGAGGTCACTGCATAATGACAAATAGCAACCTTCCCTTCATTAGAGACATAATGGACTTGCTTGAAAAGCAAAGGCAAACCATCCCAGGGCAGGGCCATGCAGATTTCAGTGCACAGCCACAAATGGGATAGACTTTAACATATTCTGAAAAAAATTGCAGAATACTATACTCATCAAGATTATGTTTCTCACTGGGTTCAGGACAGAACATAAACCTCATTGACCAGAAAAAATACAACTATATTTTCAGAGCCTCTGCTGGTGTGTGCAGTCATGAAAATTGAATTATTCTCCTTTCCCAATGCATTTTCTGCTCCGAGCAGCCCAAAATTTACGAACATACACTTTTCTCATGCCTTTCTAGTCCCTGGCTGTAATCCAGCTCTGCCAAAGACAAGAGGAACCTTCTTCCCACTAAGGTGGCCCACAAATCACAATATTATTCAGTCAGTCTGTAGCCTGAATGTAAACAGGAACTGCCAGCATGCCACATGGGTTCCTTGACCCGGGCTGCAACTCAGTGAGAGAAACATTGGATGGGATGCCACTACACTGGGTAGAGTGGCCATGTTCTGAATTTGATGGCATTGGGGCTGGCCTGCCAACCACAATGGACAGGACTGTGTCAGACTCTGGAAACTGTTCTTTATTGGAACCACTTTTTTGAGGATTCTCTCCACCTGCATTGTCCTTTAATTCAGTCAAGGCCAGTTGAGTTGAAAGAGAAAGTCCCACTTTCCGCCCACGAGTCCCCCACTTCTTCTGGGACCTTCTGATTGGCAATTCTTTGTCCTTAGGTAGGCTTATCCTGCAGTTGTGATCTTTCATGTATTTCTGTCGTGTAAAACCTTTGCTACAGGTAGGGCAACGGTACCTGTAGTTGCCTGTGTGAGCACGTTGATGCTCTGCCATGTGAGCTCGCCGGCTAAAGGTCTTATGGCAATACTGGCACTTGTGGATCTTCATCCCTAAAGAAGAAAAGACACAAACAGTGGAATTATTTGTGCACTAATGCTTTGACTAGAGCAGGAAATGGCAAAGTATACAGTTCAGCAATGTCCTGCATTGCCTATTCTGGGCCTAGACCCACTTTATAATCAAGGTACAATTTGAAAATGGGTGTTAAATGGAACTGTAAAATTTGGAGGGATTTGGAGGGACATGAAGAATAATTTAATCCAATCCACCAGCAGCATACAGATCCTCAATTAACATTTCCCTGACAGGTGACCAGCCATCCTCTACATGGTCTAAAGTCTTAGCAACTTTACTACATCATATTAAATTAACCTGTTTCTCTGCATCCCAACCAGAATAAAATGCAACAGGTTTTGCATGAGAAGACATGTAAAGTCCATTCTGCTGAATACTTTTTGGACAAAATCTAAGGCTGGACCTACAGTCATATAATACAATTTGAACTCCACTGAACTGCATTATATGGGTCTAAACCAGGCATGGGCAAACTTCAGCCCTCCAGTTGTTTTGGACTTCAACTCCTAATTCCTAATTTTGAGCGTTGAAGTCCAAAACACCTGGAGGGCCAAAGTTGTCCAATCTACACTGACTATATAACACAATTCAAATACATTATATTACAGTGGGTATCCAGCGAAAGTGTTGTAGAAAAATTGAGCTGACATGATTGAGTTTTGCTATCATTAGCTTCTTTGGATAGTTTCTGGGACATACATTTCAATGCAGGGTGGATTATTTAGCTACAGCAGCAGACAGAATTAGGTCCACCTTAATCAGAGCTCAACAGGATGGTCCTAAAACCTCATGGCTTGAGCTACATTTCTTCCCCACTTCACTACAGATGAAGTACAACAAAGCTTATTTTGAAGGAACAATGATATGTTCATTCCTCCCCAAAAAGCTGTAAACTTGTTTACCTGAATGGGAAAGAACATGAGCTTTCAACTTGTCTGGCCTGTTGAACTCTTTACTGCAGCCTGTGCGATTTCTGCAACAGCAACAAAAATCAAAATGATGAACAAAATATACCAAAATCAAGGTATTTTGACAATGGTTGCATCTTGTAATTTAAATAGTAGGAAAATTACAAGAGCTCCTGATCACTGCAGAAACTGAAGCCTGAACACCAATGCAGATATCAGCTTGCAAAAAAGATCAGTGCTCTATCTACGCTGTTCCTTCATCCTGCAAAGCTTTTGAAAATTGGCTTACTGAAAAAGACACCAAAATTGTGCCAGAAAAAGAGCTGCAGGTTTCTCTTGAATTGAAGAACTGGAAGGGACCAAGAACATCTGATAGCTATCTATCTCCAAGCAAGTCCATGTTCACCATTTCAATTTATAGCATAGCACACTAAATCCCAGCAAGATGCCTGCTCAGCAAATGACTCAGGAAGACATGTCCAAACAATGACAAGAAAAAAAACACAAAAATAAACGAAAACACTCTTGCTGGGAACAAAAGTAATACTCAAGGTAATAAAGTAGATATCGAGGTTTTCCTTAACTGAGTGAACCGAAGGATAAAACTACATCTGTGTGGCTAAATATATAGTGTGAGGTGGTGGCATTTGACTTCAGTCCTCACAGAACTGCCAGGCCCTCACATTAACCACCACCAGCCTCCTCTAATTTCTTCCATTTGCAAAATATACTATAATGAATTGTGAAGACAGAGAATGCTACTGAATGCCTCATTAATCAGATGTGGACTGAAGATCCTAGAGTAAGAAGGCTATTCCTCCTATGGGTTATCTAATACTGCTACTTGTTTGGGAATCATGCAGAATGTTTGGATTGACAGTCAGAAAAAAATGACCTCAAAAGTAATAAATAATTACAGTAATAAAGCCTAATTTGAGAAGAATCACACTTCCCAACCATTATAATTATCCCAACATTATCTGCAATGCCAGTGCTATTCTCAAGGCACATGTGATACTTACGAGAATGGACATTTATACTTCTTGAAAGGCTCATGGATCAACATATGCCTTTTGAGTTTATCCTTCCGGTTGAAGGCTGAGTCACACACGGAGCATTTGAAAGGCTTTTCACCTGCACAAGAAAAAGAAAAGATGGGTTTGGTGTAAGCACTTAAAGATTTTCTACTGACTTTGCAAGGAGACTTCCAAGATGGAAACAGTTTATCATCCCTGGAACCACGTTTCCATTTTTTTGTAACAGTTAATGTAGGCCACAAATAAAACAAGGGGTGGGATATATCTGACTTGAAAACCACACTTTGACCACACTTTATATTAAATATTTCTAGAATATATTAGATCACATGTTGAAAAGACACATTAAAATATAATTTCCAAGAAACATTTAGAATGTACTATAGAATTAATGCAATTTGATTCCTGCCAAGGCTCTATGCTATGGAATCACAGGAGTTGTAGGTTTACAAAGTCCTTATCGATTACTTGAAGATTGTTAGTGCCTCATCAAACTACAAACTCCAGGACTCCATAGCATGGAGCCATGGTAGTTAAAGTAGTGTCAAGCTGCAGTAGTTCTACAATATTATTATTATTATTATTATTATTAAACTTTATTTGTACCCCGCTAGCATCTCCCGAAGGATTCGATGCGGCTTACACAGGCCGAGGCCTCAACACACAACACAACAATACAATCTAAGCAAATCAAACAATTAAAAACAGAATAAAGCAAAATAAACAACAGGCACAATACAGTAAACACAATAAAACTGGGCCGGGCCAGAGCAATGGGTACAAGATTAAAAGTGCTGATGTGACAGGAGGTGTATATAGGGCTTCCAGGGCAAGTGCGATGTGTGATGTGCAGCAATCATTGGTTCTGATAAAGTGCTTATGGGACTTGGTGGTGGAGATTTCCTAATCTGGGAAGGCGCATCGGAAAAGCCAGGTCTTCAAGTTCTTTCTGAAGGCAGCCAATGTAGGGGCCTGTCTAAGGTCTTTGGGGAGGGTGTTCCAGAGTCGGGGGGCCACCACGGAAAAGGCCCTGTCCTGCGTCCCCACCAAGCGCGCTTGCAACGCCGGTGGGATCACGAGCAGGGCCTCTCCAGATGACCGAAGAGAACGTGTGGGTTCGTAGATGGAGATGCGGTCACGCAGGTAGGCTGGTCCCAAACCGTTCAGGGCTTTGTAGGTAAGCACCTGCACCTTGAATTGGGCTCGGAAAATAAATGGCAGCCAGTGGAGCTCCACTATATAGCTGCTCCCTAAGATAATGAAATTTTTCATAAATAAAAGAGAGTGGTTCTAAAAACAGGTGAGAGATTAGGCTTAAAGGGGAATCCCAAGATGCAAAAGCTATTAATGTAATCACAATTCTTCCTCACCCCACTATTTCTTAATACTCTGATTTGTTCACAGTTTCTTATGAAGCTTTCATCTGCGGGCTAATGTGTTTAGGCTGCTTTATGCAAAAGGGCTGACCACAATTCAACAGTAAGTTTGAAACTAATGCTAACCATCACCAAACTGGGAACAATTACTCCTACAGATAAGTGAAATCCAAGCAGTGTGGGCTACTGACCATTGCTAAAGATAGTAACAGCAATTTCCCCAACCCTAGGACTGAAAAACAAGTATGATGCATTGTAGATATTTTTGCCTCATTACCTACCAGAGTGAATGTGAGCATGTAGTTTGAGGTAGTGTTCTCGGCGGAATAATTTCTTGCAGATATGGCATCTGAATTTACCTCCACCCCCATGTGTGGGGAGGTGCCGTCTCAGGTACCTCTCACAGGGGAACACCTGCAAACACACACACACACAGCTAAGAGCAAGGTCATCACTAAACAGTATATGTGTATCTGAATGTAGCTGCAACTCATTCCCAGAATGGAGAAAAGCTTAAGGGACCTTAGAAGAGTCTTTTAGTTACTACTGCATAATCAAATCCTGTGGATGTAACATGGAAGAACGAGTCACAGAACAAAATGTCCCTAGTTAACTATGGACAATGTTGTACAGCCTTTCTGTGATACTTTGGATCTGCAGTATAGATTGCACTCCTCAGTTGGACATTAACATTTGACTTCATGAATTTGTAACTTAAGAAGTCTGGTGAAATACATCAGATGGACAAAAAAAAAAAAAATCCCAGCTATACACCCAAACAGTCAAGTAACTTCATTAAACCCACCTACTCACCTTTTGACAGTGAGGGCAGGGGAAATTGTGTGTTGCTGTCTGTAAATGATGTTCCAGGGCTTCTGGTGTGGAATATTTATTTACACACTTGACACACCTGAAGCAGAAAGGAGAAGGAAATATGTTTGGAGTTAGCTTAACTAAAAATGGATGTAAGTCTTTGTGCTCTTTGCCCTAGCATGCAAGGCTGAACAGTGTGCAAATTGTTCTCCCTGCTAAAGAAGAAAATGGAGATTTGTACACAGGTCTCAAGAGATATTTTCCCATTGCAAAGACTTCTAATGAAATATTATGTATATGTGGCTTTCCTATGCAAATATATGCATAAAGTATTTCTCTGCATAGGAAGTATAGCTTTCTGCAAATATAGGGATTGTGTAAAAATACATTTATTGGAAATTTTCTAGAACACTGTCACTATTCTTTCTGCAAATATAGGGATTGTGTAAAAATACATTTCTTGGAAATTTTCTAGAACACTGTCACTAGTCTATTTTTCCTGAGTGTTGGGAAAACCAACATTCTGATAGGAAACCAATACAAACATTTCCCTCCATTTCTAAATTGAAATTTTCTGCAAACAAAGTGACACTTTAAAAAAAAAACTTTTCTAACTTGTCAACATAATGGAAAACTAGACATTTTGTAGCCACAAGTGTCATTGGAGTACAGTGTCTAAAATATTGGATGTGGATGTAAGAGGTCTGATCTCTGCTCAGCCATGAAGCTATTTGGTGACCCTTTCCTAGCCTAACTCAAACATTTGTTTTGAGAATAAAAGAGTAGGAGGATACCATAGGTATTAATGTGAAAATATGTATGGAGAAGGGAAGCCTTAGAATGCAAATGAAGAAATGAACCCTTCCTCCAACTGTCCAGTTCTAAACTGTCCAACAAAAGTGGAAAGAGGGGGAAGCATGAGCATGGCTTGAAAGGGCAGGGAAAGAAAATGGCTGAAAACGGTTGTCCTTGAGCCCAAACTTCATCACAGATATCAGAGGCCTAAAACATATGAACATAAAAACATATGAACATAGTTCATTTCTGAGGGTTTTTTAAACTAGCCTAGAAGTTCTAGATCTAAATGCCAGGTAGTCTCATCAAAATGTTCTCCTATCTGGAATAAGGGATAATGGCATAACAGTGACAAAACAAGATTTGAGATAAAAATTAGCAGCAGTAAACTTCAGCCAACATGTTTCTAACATGTTGCAAACTACATATTATCTTCATTACTGCAAGTTATGGTTTGTTCTCAACCAGCTGATTTGGTTTGTTAGTATTTCTCAACTAAGCAAATTAGATCTAACCACCTAAACCTCATGGCACTGATAGCTTTCCTAACTTTATTTCACATGTTTGCCCTGCTAAGAACACATTCAAATTTGAAGTAAAAGCAGTTTTAACTTTCTCCCTTCAAACTCAGATGACAACTGCTGGCTCTGCAACTACTGTACTTGTAAATGGCCAAGTCTTTCTTTGGACTGTGTTGAGGCAGCAGGCTGTGGGAATATTGGTGGACGCCCAGTTCATATAAGGAAGAAAAGTCCTTGATGCAGAGGTGGCAGCGGTAGCTCAGCTCCTCCTGGTGGTTCTTGGTATGTTCTAAGAAAGAGTCCAGCTTCTGAAAAGTTTGTGCACAACTTTTCACAACACATTTGTAAACCTACACAGGAATGGAAAACAGAGAATTCAGTCTGATAATAATCATCAATCTGTATTCTACAAAGACCATCCAACTAACCATAACGTACTGTTTGAAATAAATTAACACAAGTAATTGAAGGCTTTTGTGAGTTTCAGGTTCCTCCTTCATGCACAGGAGGGTGTCTACTACTACCCTATATTCCTATAAACTTTCCTCTGTCTGATCCCAGAGTGAAGGTGATTAAGAAAGGATACACCAAAGAAGCTAGCAGAACTTTTTTTGAAACTGAATTAAGTCCTTAAGGTTTAAAGAAGTCTTCCCTTCCCCCAGCAAGTAGCCCGAACACATTCTAAAATAAACATGGAGGTTGGACTCAAAATGAATAATTTACTTCAGATATCAAAAGTTTGACAAAAACTAAGATGAAGTTTTCATGGATTTGTTTTAGTTTTACCCTTCCATCTTGGCGAACAGTGAGCAGATATGCTCTATCAGTGAGTGTAATATATTCCAGAAGGGCTGCAGATGAACTATAAGACCTTAATGCCTCTGATTCTGCCTCTAATATTTCTACCCAAATAATGACATAGAACTGTGACTAACAGGTGAAAAGTATACTAGGCTAGAATGATAGTTAGACTGAAATAGGATATGGAGTTATATAGAAACACAGAATTGGAACAGACCACAAGGGTCATCTAGCCCAATCCCCTTCCATGCAGGAACACACAATCAAAGCACTCCGACAGATGGACATCCAGCTTCTGCTTAAAAACCTCCAGAGAAGGTGACTCCACCACCCTCCAAGACAGCAAACTCCACTGCTAAACAGCTCTTACCACCATGAATCTCTTCCTAGTGTTTAGGTGAAATCTTTTTTCCTGCATTTTGTTCTGAATGGCACTACAGAAGGAAAACCCCTGCACCAAATTATCCTACATTCTGCACCAAGAAAAGCTTAATTCTATGTTCTACTTAGATTATACAAATTTCAGACATAAATTCCTCAATTTCTACAGGTCAAGGAAAGACCTAAGCAAGGCAGGAGGAAATCCATGCCTTGGCTAGTCACCCACCTGCTCATGTTTGTGCTGAGTCATGTGTGATTTCAGTTGGAAGTATGTGCTGAATTTGTTGGGACAGAACTGGCACTGGTAAGAACTGTCTATCAAGACCACTTGCTGGGCTTCCAACTTGCTGGATTCATGCTCTTGTGTTGGAGGCATGGTCTGAGGTTGTGGGGGGCTGTTTCCTGGAGATGGGTTTAGGTCTGCAGGAAAAAAATAAGACACAAAACATTAGAGTTCTAATTTGAGGTATTATTGAGAAGGGTTATTTTTAGGCCAGGTTACCCACCAAAACCGTCCTTCTACTTTTGTTCAAATTCACTAATCCAAATTTTCATTTTCATTTGTTCAAATTATGATGAGCTCTTAAAAATGCAAAACTAGGTCCTCTTCATTTTCATTTCACTAAATGTGTCAAACCACTGTGGTGTTAGTAGAACTTTGTTTTGGGTACCTTTACTATAGGAGCTGCTCATCCTTCAGAGATGGAAGACATGCACCATAAAAATATTTGGTATTTTCAAAGCATGATATACAAAGAGCATAGTGTCCACAGATTATCCACAACTCCTTCAAATCAATGACAGCCCATAGCAGTTATATTTAGGAAGCCAACTGGATCACCCTTCATCACAAGCTACACTCTACACTCTACATGTAAATGTTTGTGTTGTTAATGGTCATCAGGTCAACTCCCATTCAAAATAATCATATGAATGAGAGACCTCCATCTTATCCCATTATCACTATCACTGCTCCGGTTTTGAATTTATGTCAGATTGATCTCAGGAACAAACCAGCTGGGACATACTCTCATAAATATGACTGGAGAACACATAGCATAGAGATGTGACTGAAGGGGCATGTTGACATATACATTTGACCTTGCAGTAAGTAGGATAAACAAATAAAAATCTTCAACTCTGCTAGTCTTAGGACTGAAAAAGACAGATGTGTAAAAGCAAGCACAAATATTCAGAGGTTTGGGGAGCAGGTCATCAGTCAACTGGTCATTTCACCAGTAAGCAATGCACCTGCATCTTCCTCATCCTCCTCCTGATTGGGGTTGAGTGGCAAGACTTGCACAGTGACAGAGCTCCGAGAGAGGGTACACCCAACTCCTGGTGGCCACACCTTATGCGTCTGCATGTGCTTCTTCACGTTGGACTTTTGTGCAAAGGCACGGCCACAAACGATGCACTGGAAGGGCTTTTCCCCTGTGTGGCTGTAGGAAAAGAGGACACAAATTCAGAACCTGGAAAGCAGACTCCCTCAATGGCAGTATAATCTGACTGCAAGTTGTTACTGGTGCATCCAGGTGAGATCTTGAGAGAAAGAAATGGGATTCTGCTAATTATAGTACCCAAAATGACATTTTCCAATAACTGAGGTCTGAAATATTGTGGAGTCAAGACTATTTTACAAGGTTTTGTCCCATTAGGAAAATATGGTAATCAAGAAGCAAGGACCATATCAATTTATTTATTTATACTCTGCCTTAATTTTAACTCTGCCTTGGTTTTCAACAATAAACTGTACTTAAGGTGGTTCCAAAAAGTAAAGTAAGCTAAAAACATTATAAAACAAATCAACATCCTGACTGCTACATCCCAATTAGACTACTGCAATGCACTCTACGTGGGGCTGCCTTTGAAGGCTGCTCAGAAGCTTCAATTAGTCCAATGGTCAGCAGCCAGGTTCCAGAAGTGGGAAGACTCTTTCTCTTCTTAATTTGTGTCTACTCAACTATAACCTTTCACCTAAAAGTTGGAATCAAATGTGATCACAGTGATCACATCAATCCCATCAATTTTGCATTGACTATTCTGCCTCAGATGGCAAAATGTCTTGGGCTGTTCCAGCTCCTGGACCATCAAGTTAGTTTCTTTCGACACAAGAATGATCCTGTGCCTGGGTCAACAATCAAGATCCCTCCATTTTATGTGCTCAAAATGTGCATTGGTGTTTGCTATTGTGGTCACCAATACTCTATGTCTAATGCTATCAAATATGGCTTGGATTTTGGAGGCATATTCCTGGCTACTGCAACCCTCCCCATGTCCAATTCAGTTTCTAAAATAATAATAATTAGTTGGTGATTTTTTTTCTTAGAACAGTATGTCAAAGTACAGTAAAAATTAGAACAGTATGTCAAAGTACAGAGAAAAGCAAGAGGCACATGAAACAGGGATGTGGACTGGTAGCACAGATCAAAAACTGGAACATATGGACAGACAGAATGAAGAAGCAGAACCTGAACATGACAATCTGGAAGCTAATACTGTTAACAAGATTACCAATGGCTAGACAGAAGTGTCAATGTTAGGGGAAATGCAGCAGGCTGATAACAGGCAGTCAAGAGCTGGAACTGAGTTACTTTCATGCATGCATGCTGTAGCCAGTGTTCAATGTTTGGGAAACCACCCCAGTCTAGTAGACAGATAGTTTCCAAAGCCTTAGCCAGGTAGTAAGAATGGCTCCAATGGAAGCATAATTGTTGCCTTTGATCTATAGCTAATGCCACTGTGTCCCATCTGGAAGCCTAGCATTACCTTCTGATATGCTGCTGCAAGTCAAAGTTCTTGGTGAAAGTCTTGTCACAATATGTACATTTCAATTTGGGTGATTTAGATTTCCCTGAAATGCAAACAGCAGGAACAAAAGCATTAGTTCATATCAAGAAAGCTGCTGTCATAGATTCTTACTGTTTCACTTCAGTTCACGAACACTGTATTTTAATTTCCTTCTCATTAAATTCTTGTACTACAGCAGCTTAAATAACATGATCGACCACCCCCCACCCCCCAGTGGCACAATGGGCAGGACTGCTGACCAAAAGATCGGCAGTTCGAATCCAGGGAGTGGGGTGAGCTCCCGTCTGTCAGCTCCAGCTTCCCATGTAGGTACATGACAGAAGCCTCCCACAGAATGGTAAAACATCCAGGCGTCCCCTGGGCAACGTTCTTACAGATGGCCAATTTTTTTCACACCTGAAGCGACTTGCAGTTTCTCAAGTCACTCCTGGCATGAAAAAAGTGCAGCTTAAATATAGTCCCAATCCTACAGAGAGATATTGCCAGAGAGTGCCTAGTGCTTCCTTTCCTCAGAGCTTCTTGTATCTTCAAAAATATCCAAATATGTTTTTAATCAGTTTTTTATGGATGTTAACGGTATATTTTTAATACTATTGATATTTAATTCTGTTTTAATGTTTGTATATCTGTAAATTTTGAATTATTTTGAAATGCTTTTAATGTAAGATGCTTTGAGTCTCCTTTGTGGAGAGAAAAAGCGGGGTATAAATGGACATAGTAGTAGCAGTAGTAGTAGTAGTAGTAATAATAATAATAATAATAAATTATTTTCTTAGTTTTACACAAAAATGCACAAGATTCTAAAGTGGGAAGGTCACCTAGAGATGAATCATGTCCACAGCTCAGTTTTCTCTCTCTCCCTCCTAAATTTATCGTACTGAAATATTCTTCTGCTGCCACATTTTAGGTAAATCAGAGGAAAGGTAAACACCCTTACCTTCCAGAAAAGTGCTATCCGGTTTAGAACGACGGTTCTTTGGAGTTGAATCAAAATTGGTCACATTTCCCCTGCATGTATTGTTCAAGGGATGAGCAGCATTCGGGCTTTTGGACTTAAAACCTTGCTTGCCTGGGCTGTATGCCGGAGGAGAGCGGTACACAGAGGCTTCCACACATTGGCTAGGCACCTAAAACATAAAGTATTGGTGAAAACATGTTTGAAAGTGTTATATTAACATCACAAAATGCCTTATTTTTTAGAAGCCTCAAGGCTCCAACATTCATTTTTAAAGGCTGAAGCAGCATCAAACATATCTGTAACTAAGGCTTGGACTACAATTCCTATGGATATGCCCTCTGGTGGTGCAGCAGGTTAAACTGCTGAGCTGCTGAACTTGCTGACTGAAAGGTTGGTGGTTCAAATCCAGGGAGTGGGGTGAGCTCCCACTGTTAGCCCCAGCTTCTGCCAACCTAGCAGTTTGGAAACATGCAAATATGAGTAGATCAATAGGTATCGCTTCTGCGGGGAGGTAACTATTCCATGTAGTCATGTCAGCCACATGACCTTGGAGGTGTCTCCATTTGTAAGCTCTTCAGCTTACAAATGGAGATGAGCATCACCCCCCAAAGTCAGACACGACTAGATTTAATGTCAGGAGAAACCTTTACCTTTACTATGACCATATTTTAATTCAACTCTTGGCTAACAGTACAAAATAATTACTGTAACAAAATACATATAAACACATACAGGTAATAATTTAGTTTTAAACTCTATAGAAATGATGAGGGCATGTTGGGCATTTCTGAATTTCCATGCCTGATAGTTGTCTTTAATACTGAGGATAAGGCCCCATCTACACTGCCATATGATACAGTTTGGAACAGTCTAATAAGGTGAGTGGATGCTCATATAATGCATTATATAGCAGTGTGGGTGGGGCCTCCATTTCCAATACTCACCTTCCCAATGAATAAATAAGGCTTCTGTCTCATGACTTGGCATTTGAGTACTTGAGGTCAGTTCTATGATGTTCCCACTATATCACATGCACATGTGCCATTTTAGTAACTTCTCTATATCAGTCAGTTCCTGTAGCCTATGCTGTCAATAATTTTCCTTCTTGTCTCAATTCCCTGCATGAGGCGGACATCTTCCTGATAAACACTCTGGTCACTAATGAAATAATCACCAACTAGAAGACAGCTGTCTACATTCTGTTATGCTTTTCTCTAATTATGTTGGTAAATCACCTTTTGGAGCTGGATGAATCAGAAGCAGCATTTTAGACCACAAACAACACTAGCAGCACACTGAACAATGCAGGCCCAAACTCATCGGTACCTCCATATTTGGGTAGGGCTGCATCCCCAGATTCTGTATCTCTACTGCACCATTCCTGACCATGGGGGGAGGAGCACTGTACACTTCCACAACTCCTCTGTTACGAGCGCTGGCTTGGACTGGTGCTCCCAGGCTTGGAGGGGGAGGCTGAGGAGGTGGAGGAGGAGGGGGTGGTGGTGGTTGAGAAAGATATCCTGCTCCAGCGTGCATATTCAGGCTGCTCTAAAAAAGGAAAATGGGGAATTAGAAAAACGTTGGAAAGAAAACATCAAAAAGATTTGTACCCAGACTCTTGCCTCCATTCATAAACCTGATCAGTATTCTTACTACTACTACCATCATTATTATATACAATATGTTCTACCCTCTGTATTCTGAGATTCCGTAATCATTCACAAGTTGAAAATACTAAAATAAAATCCCCAAAGCAAACATTGATTTTGCCATTTTATATAATGGATACCACTTTACTGTGCTACTGAATATAATGGGACTTTCAGCATCCATGGATTTTGGTACTACCACCAAAATACAAAAAATGTTGGGAAAGTACAAAACATATTTTAAAAATACACGAGCTGCCTATAAAATCTTACACCTGGCACAGTTTTACAAATTTTCGGGCACCTTAAAATAAGAAAAGCATTCTGTTTACCTGAACAGAGGGTTGTACAGTGGGCATTTGTGGTTGGTCCAGAGTTGTAAAGGCAGACATAGCTGACATCAGGACTTCATCACTTACTAAAATATTCCCTTGCACTAATGTCTGGATCAGAGGAGACGGTGGGACTGTAATGTATGTAGAGATCTGTTCGGAAGAAGGCATTAAAAAAATCTTACTTTGCCTGTAACAAAATTTCCAATCCCACTCTTTCAGAAAGGATTCGGTATTTAAGATAAATACTGCACTTTGGAATGTTCAAACATTTTACAAATCTTTACAATACCAGTCATGAATTTACTGTTATACTGCTTCCAGATGATTTGAGGTTATTAAGATAGGTATAACGAACTTTTTATGGCTATCAAGAGTCCAGGGGTTAAAGGAACACATAAGAAGGGCCACTATCTTTATTATATGATGGCACCTTCACTGCATAATTCTGCTATCTTCTATGTTATATAGTCCCATAAATATATATTGTTCAGATCTGGAAAACCTACAATCTTCCAAATGTATCTAAACACAAATTACCATTAGTTCCAGACAGCCTAGCCAACTGTTAGGTTGACTTTTCCAGATGTAAGATGCTAATGATATATCCTCCTCTTTCTTAACTTTTCCAGCCAGGTTAGGCTGTGAATCACTTTCAAATGTAACAGTAAGGCAGGATTTCAGTGGACAGTATCATGAATATACTACATGTTAGTGTATTCACCTTGTTCCTCTCATGAGCACATCCAGGTAAAAGCATAGTGCTTCCTCTGAATCTGGTACCCTACTCTATTGCTCCAGAACCAAGCATGATACTTAAATAAGGAAGACACATTGGTTTACAATCCTGATTTGTAAAGTCCTATCTACATTCAGACAATAAGTTATGTTTCTGAATCAGGTCAAACAAGTCAATGCTCATCTGTACACAGCTCATTTATGGCAACCCGGCATCTTCGTGTTTGTGTGGCCAGGAGCTCCACATTCTGCCCTGGTTACTTAAAATTGTATTGGATTTTCTAGATATTCAGCATCCAGCACAATTAGCAGCTTGTCATTGGCTTAATTTTTATATGATGTTATAAAGTTGAACAAAATTGTAGTGAGATAATTCATTACCAACTTGAGAACAAATATAATAATTGTGTTGGTAACACTTTTGTGAATGCTCCTGTAAACCAAAGGAATCCTTGGTTTTCTTCCCCCCTCACAAATGTCTAACTTTGAATCAATGGCTTATGATTATAACCTTTCATCCCCTTATAGTGCAGAGATGCCTAAACATTCAGCATTTTTACCTGGCGATTTGTGGTTTGAGCTTGGTGCACTGACGTAATGGACGGTGTGTAGCCACTGTTAGTAGCCAGGGACACTGTAGCCAATGAGGGGGAATTGCCTTGACACTGTTCTCGCTTATGGGTCATGAATGTTGGCAGCGAGTTGAATTGCTTCTTACACTTCCCACAAAGGAATACGTCCTCATCATCTGTGATTACAAAAAAGTTATTTTCCAATTGTCAAAGTTGATTCTGCATCACTCAACCAGGCTCTTGCATGCAAGTACAAACACAAAACTATTATCATATTTAAACATAATTAAGATAAAATAGTTGAACTGGTAACAAAAACATACAACATTGGTTAGAGATTAATTCTTGTGGCTCGACAGGTTTAAAGTTTCACTTTGATAGGACACATATAGCCAGCTCCTACTAAAAAAAAGTCAAGGTTTTATCTAGAGGACATCTCTAATAGAAATAATAAGAGAGTCGAGTCAATGTAGTGTTCTTAAAAGAACACTTTTTTAAAAATGTCATTTATCTTCCATTTTTCCATAGCCATATGATCACAGACTATCTATGTTAGGTATGTCATAATATCACCCTCTGACTTTCATTAGATGCAAATTACGGTATTTCATCTGTACAGGGGAACGTCTACTTATGAGTGTTTTGAGTTAAGAGCTTTGCTTGGCCTTGTTTTGCTTTGACATACAAGCAGCATTTTGAGTTAAGAGCTAGTGCCAGAGGCTTTCGGGGCTTTATGGCTTCTAGCCTCCATGCCTTGTTCCTTGTGCTTGTCCACTTTGGGAAACTGCTATCTGCATTGGTCTTGTCTGCTTTTAGGAAATTTGGGTTAGTTGATTTTGTGTAGTTTTTATTTGTTGTATGTTTGACTTCATGAAGAGAGGGAGGGAGAGCAAGAGAGGGAAGGAGGCTGGAATGAGTACAGTATGAAAAAAATAATGCTTCTACCTCTTCACGTTGTGCTTCCTTGCCAAAACTTTGTGCTTCTACCATTTAAAAGTTGATCTTCCTTTCTGTATTGTTCCATGTGAATGTGCAGGTTTTGCCTTGCTCATAGCCAAAATTCTTTGAATGCTATGAGCTCAAATCTCTTGAAAGAGATCTGTTGCTTACATTTCCACACAATTTTAGCTCACAGCACAGGTTCAAAAGCATTACAAGCAAACAATAAAGCTACAATATAACTGGAAAACAAGTTTTTTATTTCCTCCCACCCCATGTTCCTTTAATATTAACACAAAGGACTCACCCATGGTCTGAATGGTGGTGGATGCATTGACAGTTTGTGCTGATGGATCTGCTACTCCTCCTTGGCCATCTAACAATGACTGAACAGCTAAGACAGTTTGATTATCCATTCCTAAAGAGGACAAAAATGGTGACTAGAGATATTGCCTTCCGAAATATGCCATAAACAGTTCCAAGGTTGTCTTAAGACCTAACTAAATCAATTGTATCGAACACCATGTCTTCGTCAAGTTCTGATGCAGCTTTTGTTGTTCTACAATGAGCCACCCAATTATATTTAAAACCATCCATACAACATCGCAGTCTTCAAAGCTTACCATGTGAATGATCCAAATAAATTGGAATATTGAATGTGACAACTCAACAAGACTGATAAGATTTCTGACTATGATGCAGAAACATCCTTTGAAGGATACCTGAACATGATCCAGGTTACGTCAGATGTCATTTAAATCACTAAATGCTAGGACAGCCCTTAATTTCTTTGGACTGGTATTTAAGAATCACAGTATGGTCCCTTCTACACAGTGAAATCTGCGCTATCAGAGAAGTTAAGTAAATAGCATGCCATTTAAGATCAGTTTCTTTTTTTACTGTTCTTTAAGCATACATAGCCTTGCCTGGATAGGGGGGATTTAAACCTCCTCCCCTCCTCCCCACATAAATATAGATACATAGATATATATGAAAGAGAAGACTCTGATCCATTGGCTGCAATTGCAATCTTCCTTGTACCTTTAGCACTTTCACAGGGTTGGAATATGCAACAATCAAGGCAGATTTGCACTTTGAAGGAATCTCCCTTCTACTATCAAAGCTTCATAGGATTGAATATTGTTGAATATTCCCTAGCACTTTTAGGAATAGTCTTGCATATAAAAATATGCTTGAATGCTTGTTGACTAGGACTTCAAGAGACAAAGGTTCAAATCCCTGCCCAGTTACTCGGCAATCATACTTTCTCAGGGTAACATCTACACTGTCAATTTAATGCAGTTCGACACTAGTTTAGAACTGTCATGGTTCCATCTTATGGGATCCTGGGAATGAGAAAGTTGAAGACACTGTTACATCGTATGGAGCCATGATGGTTATAAACTAATGTTGGACTACATTAGTTCTACAGTGTAGATGCACCCAAGACAGTCCTTTTCTTTGTAGTACATTTTTAAAGTATCTTCAGCTATAACCAAGGAATAATTCAGGACAGGTTGAGTATCTCTTATTCAAAATGCTTGGCACCAGAAATATGCTTGGCACCAGAAATATTCTATATTTCATATTGTTTTCATCTTTGAATAGATGGATAGATATATAGATAGATACTCATTTCCAAGGATGAATATATGGGTGGATAGATAGCTACAGTAGAGTCTCATTTATCCAACTTTTGCTCATCCAGCGTTCTGCATTATCCAACGCTGTCTGTCTCCCGCCTGGATCTACAGCTGTTTCAATACATTGTGATGTTTTGGTGCTAAATTCGTAAATACAGTAATTAATACATAACGTTACCGTGTATTGTACTGTTTTTTCTGTTGATTTGTTGTAAAACATGATGTTTTGGTGTTTAATTTGTAAAATCATAATGTAATTTGATGTTGAATAGGCTCTTCCTTAATCCTTATTATCCAACATTTTCGCTTATCCAACGTTCTGCAGGCCCGTTTATGTTGGATAAGCGAAACGCTACTGTAGATAGATTTATTTATTTATTTCCTTTGCTTATATACCACTGTTCTCAGCCCGAAGGCGACTCACAGCAGTTTACACACAATAAAAACAGCAATAATTCAATGCACATATAACAATTGACCACTTAACCCTTATCCACTTAATAAACAACAAGCAATTACACTAACAATCGATCGATCTATTTATCCTTGGAAATGAGACTCAAGCTTAAACACACAATGTGTGGATATTTCATATTTCCCAGATGTGTGACGGGAAGGTGATGCTGTGAGAGAAAGAAAGTTGAACACTGTGAAAGCCATCCACTGCATGGCTATCAGCCTCCTCCCATTAGATTCAAACCAAGGGAAAGCTTCATGAGAACCACCACACCCCTTAATGTTCCCTCAGCTAACGTTCCCCCAGCAACAGCAAGAATATCCCTCTGGGTAGCTAAACCATGAAATCCCAATTGCATGGCCCCCCACGAGGGTCTGCCTCCAGAGGCAAACCAAGAATGGGCAACTTGGAAGTCCCTGAACAGACTCAGAAGTAGTGTTGGGAGATCAAAAGATAACCTGGCAAAATTGCACTACTTAGAGAATCCTCCACCTTGTGTGACTGTGGAGCAGAGAAAAAAACTCAGCATCTGTATGCTTGTCCACAATGCCCTGCCTCATGTACAGAGGAAGAATTGTTTAAAGCTACAGACAATGTGGTCGTTGTTGCCCGTTTTTGGCCATAAATTGTTTCGCTGCTTATGTTCTTTCTATTTCTATCGGTTTTATACTTATTTCTGTAGCTCCCGGTGCGCAATGGGTTAAACCCTTGTGCTGCCAGGACTGAAAACTAACAAGTCAGAAGTTCAAATCTGAGGCAAGCACAGATGAGCTCCCTCTGTCAGCTCCAGCTCCCTATGCGGGGACATGAGAGAAGCCTCCCACAAGGATGGTAAAACATCAAAACATCCAGGCGTCCCTTGGGTGACGTCCTTGCAGATGGTCAATTCTCTCACACCAGAAGTGACTTGCAGTTTTTCAAGTCGCTTGACACACACAAAAACAACTTATTTATGCAATGCTATTGATACGAAATAATAATCTTATACACATTGTTTCAAGGACAATATGTGCACACTATTGAGCACAAAAAAGTTTGGATACATTGAACCATCAGAAAGGAAAGTTGTCACTATCTCAGCCACCCATGTTTAAAGGGTTTTATTGTATTTTTTAAACATTTTATGCTCATATTGTTTTACTTTATGTGATGTCGATTGTTAGCCACCTTGAGTCCGTATATTGACAGAAAGGCAGGATAAAACAAAAATAAAGCAAACGAAGAAATAAATCCATGAGAACCATTCTGGAAGGCTCAACCTTCCATCATGATTCAGTATTTTATATGGTTTTAATCTGTTTGATATGTGTGTTTAATATTTAGATTATTTATATTTTGATGAGATGTGAAGCATTGAATTTTTGCCAGATTTGCAAGCCACCTTGAGTCCCTTTTGGGGTAAATAAAGGCGGGGTAGAAATGAAGTAAATAATAATAACATAAATAATAACCTGTAGTATGAGAGTTTTGCCAAGGTACAGGCAAACTTGGGCCCTCCAGGTGTTTTGGACTTCAACTCCCACAATTCCTAACAGCCTACCGGCTGTTAGGAATTGTGGGAGTTGGAGTCCAAAACACCTGGAGGGCCCAAGTTTGCCTGTGCCTGATCTAAACTATACAATTGTGACACCAATTTAACTGTACTGGCTCAATCCTATGGAGTCCTGGGATTTGTAGTTTGCACCACAGAAAGCTTAAGGCCTTGTAAAGCTTCCAAGATTCCACAAAATTGATCCAATGCAGTTAAAGTGGTGTCAAACTGCATTATTTCTGCTGTGTAGATGCACTCTTATGAGGAAAAGCAACCTATGAAAGAAACTGAGGGGTGTTTGTGTTGTATCAAGATTTTAGGATGCCTCGTTCCTCAGTCAGACGCCCCAAAAAAGATAGAAAGGCAGACATAGGCCTCAACAACTCCAATTGTGTTTCCTCCCAGAGAGGCTGCCTCAGTCTCTGAGCGCGTCCGCCAAACGCTCCCCCTCCCTCCGCTCGCCTCTCCGGCTGTTCCAAACACCCTCCCCTCGGCCCTTGGCAGCCTTCTCAGCCCGTCCCGCCCGCCCGCAGCGGCGGGAGGGGAGCCACCTGGCGTGGAACAGCCGCGCCCTTGACACGCCAGGCCTCCACTCCCCCCGCGCGCCCACGCTTCCCCGGCTGAAGTACCTTCCAGCGCCTCGAATATCGCCTGCGCCATCTTGGAGCTGAGGCAGCCGCGGCAGAAGCAGCCTCAACGGGCATTGTGGGAAAGGAGAGGAGGCTGGCTCGGCCGGCAGGGGGAGCCCGGGGAGGGGAGGCCGGCTGAAGGAACAGCCTCTCTATGTGAACGGGTAGCTAGGGAGGGAGATTGATTGACAGCCAGGAGGCGGGACCTTCGCTTCAGAGCCTTCCAGTGGAGCCTGAGCTGTGATGGACAGGCGGGGGGCGGGGAAATCGCTTCTGCTGCCTTCAATGGAACCTGAGGCCCCATCTCACATGCCATATAATACAGTTTGAAACTGCGTTATATGACCTGTGTAGACGCATATAAATTCAGTGCAGTCAAATAAATGTCTGGGTTGCTGTGAGTTTCCCAAGTTGTATGGCCATGTTTTAGAAGCATTCTCTCCTGATGTATTGTCGAAAGCTTTCATGGCCAGCATCTAATCACCTCTCAACAAAAGTTTGCCCCAGGCTCTGTCAGGCCATTATATGCTAATCAAGGTGGTCAGTTGAAACATTCACACCTAGCTCCAGCAGACAAGAGTCCTTTGTCTCACCCTGGTCATTCCACAGATATTTGTTGTTCATTCGTTCAGTCGTCTCCGACTCTTTGTGACCTCATGGACCAGCCCATGCCAGAGCTCCCTGTCGGCCGTCACCACCCCCAGCTCCTTCAAGGTCAGTCCAGTCACTTCAAGGATGCCATCCATCCATCTTGCCCTTGGTGGCCCTATCCTTTATTTCCTGGAGGATGGACTGGTTGGATCTTCTCGCAGTCCAAGGCACTCTCAGCGCTTTCCTCCAGCACCACAGCTCAAAAGCATCTATCTTCCTTCGCTCAGCCTTCCCTGAAGTCCAGCTCTCACATCCGTAGGTTACTACAGGGAATACCATGGCTTTGACTAGGCGGATCTTTGTTGCCAGTGTGATGTCTCTACTCTTTACTATTTTATCGAGATTGGACATTGCTCTCCTCCCAAGAAGTAAGCGTCTTCTGATTTTCTGGCACAGTCTGCATCTGCAGTAATCTTTGCACCTAGAAATACAAAGTCTGTCACGGCCTCCACATTTTCTCCCTCTATTTTCCAGTTGTCAATCATTCTTGTTGCCATAATCTTGGTTTCTTTGATGTATAAACCCACTTTCCTAGTTCCAACAGATCTCACTACCTCTGAGGATGCTTGCCATAGGTGCAGGGGAAACGCCAGGAGAGAATGCCTCTAGAACATGGCCATATAACCCGAAAAAACCTACAACAACCCATTCTCTCCTGATGTTTTGCCCACATCTATGGCAGGCGTCTTCAGAGGTTGTGAGGTCTGTTGGAAACTAGGCAAGTGGGGGTTTATATATCTGTGGAATAATGTTCAGGGTGGGAGCAATAACTTGTTTGCTTGAGGCAAGTGTGAATAGTCTTGCAGCTTCAAATTGAATAGTCTTGCAGCTTCAAAGCCTGGCTGCTTCCTGCCTGGGGGGTCCTTTGTTGGGAGGTGTTACCTGTTTCCTGTCTGGAATTCCCCAGGTTTTTTTTAGTGTTGCTCTTTATTCAGAATCAGGACAGTAAATAAACTAGATTATATGGCAGTGTGGACTCATATAACCCAGTTCAAACGAGATAATATGGATTATCTACCATGATAATCTGGATTATATGGCAGTGGAGATCAAACTCCAGATGGTGATTGTGTGTGTGTGTCAGGAGCGACTTGAGAAACTGCACCCAGATGGTGATGACGCAAACGACAGTGATGCTCATTAGGGGTTTTCTTTCATGCTAGCTTCGAACTGCATTAAATGCTCAATGTAGATGGATCCTAAGAAGCGGTAATGATCTCTGTACTTTTTGCCATATTTAATAATAATAATAAACCTTTATTTGTACCCCGCTACCATCTCCCGGAGGACTCGGTGCGGCTTACAAGAGGCCGAGCCCAAATACAATAGTCATACAATAATAACAACAACAGCAAAATAACTCAAAAAAACAAAACAATAACATTAACAACACACAATGACGCAATTAAAAACAATGGCAGGGCCAAATGTAATAATAAAGTTAAAAGTGCTAGGCGTGACAGGTGGAGTGTTTGGAGGGGGTGGGCATGTAGATATCCTAGATCTCTGATAAAGTGCATTGGGACATAATCCTAGGAGTTTCCTTATTCTGGAAAGGCACACATATTTGAACTGAGACAACACCCCATACATTTATCAGCTATAGTTCTCAAAAACTGGTGGCAATTACTGCAACAGACAAATACAGCTGCTGCCTTCCTCCTTCAAATAGTTTGGAAAAGGATTGTTACACACTTCACCATGATAAAATTCATCACACAACCTTGGTAAACTTTGGGATCAACACACACTTTAAAAGTAATAATGGTTCTGGGAAATAAAGCCTTGGATAAAGCCTAGGGGTCACTGATAGCACAGCGGGTTAAACCATTAGCTGCAGAAAATCTGCTGGCCGGAAGGTTGGCAGTTTAAAGCCATGAGTCAGGCTGAGCTCTCGACTGTCAGCCCTAGCTGCTGCCAACCTAGCAGTCTGAAAGCATGCAATGTGAGTAGGTCATTAGGTACCATCTTGGCAGGAACGTAAAAAGGGTGCCCCATGCAGATATGCAGACATGCCAGCAACACAATCGGGAGATGCCCATGGCATTATGATTCATAAATACTAATTATTTAAAATCCGAATGCATTTCTGTGTGTGCTGATGGTGGGGTGACGAAATGGATTGATCTTGATGGTCCACGATGTATCCAATTTTTGCCTCAGTGATCCATGGTCTCTTGAAGTTCGGGAACCACTCACAGTTCTACAGTAATATTGACAATTTTGTAAAATGTTAGTTGATCCACTAGGGGGCACTGTAAACCTAACGAGGATTAACCTAACTAATTCAACTTTTTCAGAGCACATTTTTAATTGAAAAGTGTTCTGAAAGAGAACATCAAATCATTTCCAATTACTACTTGGCAAGACTAATGTTTCTGATTGGCATCAAGATTATGTCTTTTCCAAAAGGTATAATTATCTTAAATTGTTCCATTTAACAATTAAAGTTTAATGATAGGGTGCAAAATAGATATAGTTCATAACTGAGAAAGGTAAATGAACATATCAAATAGTCTAGATGGCTTTAAAAGCCTATGTCTTTAAAACATCCATATTGACAATTGGTTTCAGCCATAGACAAGACTTCCTGGTTACTTTTAATATCATGCTTCTTTTTATGTCAAAGAGTGAAATTGGCAGCTGCTCATAGGTACAAGTATGTGTGCCTTCAAGCTGCCTGTCAAATTTCTCAGGTAAAGAATACTCAGGTGTGGCTTTGTCTTTTCTTCCTTCTGATATATTGCCTACTGAACCTGATATTCTTTGGTAGTCTCCCTGCTAGGTTTAGACAAAAACTATTGCCCTTAGGCTTGTTAGAATGGAAACATCTAGGACATTGTGACAGTAGTGATTTGGAAGCAATGTATCCCCTGCAGCATATCAGTAAGAAAAAAAGAAGTATAAAGCCAAGTCACTGAGTGAAGAGAGAAGTTGGCGTTCTTCCTCATTTCGATCTTACCCAAGTAGGATTCCTGATTTCTGAACTGTGCTGCAAATAAATAAAATCCTAAGTTGAAGACTATCATATTAAGCTTTCAACAAGTTGAACTCAATTTCAGCATTCAGTATACATGCTTAGTGTGTGTGTGTATATAAAAGCTGTATGTCTATGCGTTTGTATGTATGTACACACACATATATATAAAGCTAGGAACTTTCTGAAAAAATACGTACAGACACACACGCACACACAGTTTTAATGCATTTCAATATTGTAATCTTTAATGGTTTTAATAAGTTTGTTTTTTAATTTTCATATTATATTTAGAGTATATATACTGTTTTAATTTGCATCCTTTTATATTAATTTTGAACTACCTGAGTTCTAGTATTGGGAGAAAGGTGGGATAGAAATAAATGATTATATATATATATATATATATATATATATATATATATATATATCTCCACACACACACACATATATATATGCATACACACATATATACATATATAAAATTTGTGCAGATAAGCTGAAAGTACATATATAAGTATATCTGTATAGAAGTACATGTGCACATATGCACATTATATATATCATATACATACATACACATATAACTTGTGTTTTATAGAAATATGTTTTAATATGTATCTTTTATAGACATACATTTTAATATGTGTATTTTTGGTCTTTTTACACTGTTCACAGTTTTATAGTTTTATTAGATGGAAATGTGTTTATGATGGGATTGTTTATTGTCATGGTTTGTGATGTCTTTGCTTTTTATATGTTGTTCGCCGCTTTGAGTTCCCATGCAGGACTCAAATAAATAATGTGTTTTTAAAATTCTATATCTGGCTTTTCTCCCATAAGTGGGACTCAAAGTGGCATACAGTAGTTAGAAACAACAGACGTTTTAATTATTCTGTAACCCGACTCAAGCCTTATTTGCCTTATTTCTATCTTGCCTTTCTCCCGATATAGGAACTCAAAAGTGGCTAGCAATACATATAAAACCATACATATGTATTTGAAGAAGGTTCCTCATTAACACACACAAACATATACATGCAGGGTATTCCATTAGTCTCCATACATAGGGAATGTATATGTATGTGTGTGTGCGTGTGTGTGTAAATATATATGTGTGTGTGTGTGTAGAAAGAAGTGCCAACATTTATTTATTCATATATTTACGACATTTATATGCCACCCTTCTCACCTCAAAGGGGACTCAGAGCGGCTTACATACAATATATATATACATACAATATATATATATACATACAAGATATATATACATACAATATATTATATTATTAGCATAGTACAATATCTGTATTATATATTACTATATTGTATTATACCATTATATTGTAATATTATTAGTAATATTGCATGTAATATAAATATATAATTATAATATATTATTAGCATTATATTGTATTATATTATAATATTATAAATATTATATGTGCTGTATATACATTCTTCATTCGTTCAGTCGCTTCCGACTTTTTGTGACCTCATGGACCAGCCCACGGCAGAGCTCCCTGTCAGCCGTCAACACCCCCAGCTCCTTCAAGGTCAAGCCAGTTACTTCAAGGATGCCATCCACCCATCTTGCCCTTGATCAGCCCCTCTTCCTTTTTCCTTCCATTTTTCCCAGCATTGTCTTCTCATTATGTGTCCAAAATACTTCATCTTGGCCTCTATTATCCTTCCCTCCAATGAGCAGTCGGGCTTTATTTCCTGAAGTATGGACTGGTTGGATCTGGTTGGATTATAATATAATGTAGTATATTGCATTATCTTATATTTTTAGCATAGCACAGGAGACAAGGTAGAACTGTCCCCTGGCCCCCTCTCTCTTCTATGTAGAAAATAGTTTGCAAATATTTTGTAATAATTATGACCCTTTTGTAAATAAAGGTGCATTTTGCTGTACTTTTACTGTAGTTTCCATTTAATATACGTGTGTGCGCGTGCGCAGGAAGTTCCTCGTTCGACCGCTGTGGCAAACGAGGAAAACCGCATGGTCTTGTTTTCTTCCCCGGAACCACAGTTCAGGAGCGAGTGTTCCGCACGGACTGCATTCCTTTGGACTCCATTCCCACGCATTCGGTGCAGTAGACAAAGCGTTCCCCCTCTGCCGAGCTGAGAGGCTGCCGGGCTGTGTCGTCGAGCATGGGGGCCGAGACGATGGTGCGCACCCTGCTCTATACTGTCAACTCTCTGCTGCAGCAGCGCAGATACCAGGCCGCCCTGGCAGTGCTTAAGGGCTTCCGGAACGGCGCAGTGTAAGCCCCGGGGCGGGGTTGTTTCTTCTTCCGCTCACAACCGGGCTTCAGAAGGGCCCCATTGGGCCTGTGGGGCGAGGCCTTTCCCTTGAGAGGAGGCGAACTCCCCTTGGACAGTGGTGCCTCTGTCTCAGGCACGGGCAAACATGGGCCCTCCAGGTGTTTTGGACTTCAACTCCCACAATTCCTAACAGCCAGTTGCCTGACGCAACATGTATGGCGCCCCAGTTACTAACCTGGCTGCCTCTCGTTGGACTATTAGAACCTTCCAAACAGTCTTCAAAGGCAACCCCACGTAGAGCACGTTGCAGTAGTCTATCCTAGATGTTAGTTAGAAGTTAGGCAATCCCTCTTTGGACGAGTAGGATAGTCTTCCATGATCAGTAGGTGGCTGTGGAGCCCTATTCTTGACCTGCATCTTCGCCCACAGTGAGGGCATTGGTTTCCAGGTGGAAGGCGGTCTCGGTTGGGATTGGCTTGACGCGCCTTCCTCCTGGCACGTTTCTCTTTTTCACCCTCCAGTCGTGCCTCTTCAAATTCTGCAGCACTGCTGGTCACAGCTGACCTCCAGCTGGAGCACTCAAGGGCCAGGGCTTCCCAGTTCTCAGTGTCTATGCCAGAGTTTTTAAGGTTGGCTTTGAGCCCATCTTTGAATCTCTTTTCCTGCCCACCAACGTTCCATTTTCTGTTCTTGAGTTCAGTGTAGAGCAACTGCTTTGGGAGATGGTGGTTGGGCATCCGGACAACGTGGCCGGTTCACCGGAGTTGATGGCGGAGGACCATCGCTTCAATGCTGGTGGTCTTTGCTTCTTCCAGCATGCTGACGTTTGTCCGCTTGTCTTCCCAAGAGATTTGCAGGATTTTCCAGAGGCAGCGCTGATGGAATCGTTCTAGGAGTTGCATGTGATGTCTGTAGACAGTCCACGTTTCGCAGGCATAGAGCAGGGTTGGGAGGAAGCTCGGCCTATCCTAGATGTAACGAGAGCATGAACCACCATGGCCAAGTAAATTGTGTACAACAATTTACATTTATTCAAATACATAGGTACAGGAATACTCTTGAATATTTATACCTCAGTATAAATACTCAAGCTAATAATCATTTTCCCCTAGTTTCTCCAGCTGTTCTATGGTTTAAACATAATAAAAAATAATTTACTGTAACTAAAAGTGTCTTTAATCTTACACATAACCATAAGCCTGAGGTTCTCAAAAGTAAGCGAAACTAAAGGGTATGCTTTTCTACGTTACCCAAGCCCTTTCCAGGACAACTCTTCAGATATGACGTTATGGCCTGTCATGTTGAATTTTGCTCTTTAAACTTTTTAGCTGCTTTGGTATTTACAGGACATTATTACACATTTTGTCTTCTTTATCATCCTGTACCCAGTTTTAAATAATGTTCCTTTTTTCTCCCTCCCTCCTCTCCCCGAGAACAGTTTACTAATTTTGGTATACTCATTGAGACTGTTCAATCATGAGGATAATCTTGATTAATTCCTTATATTTATATTTCCCCATTATTCTAGAAATAAGACATTTCCATTTTGTCTCCCAGATCTTTCTGATTTGGCCGTTCCTGTAATAACTATATTAAAATGTTATTTACTTTGAAATATGAACAAGTATAGAATTCAGTGTTCTGCCTGCACTGTAATGTGAAGAAGCTGAATTTCAATGTAATACTTCTATTTGTAAAATTTATACAGTTTAGATCAAGGGTATTTGATGGAGTGTATTTCCCCTTATGGGCTTATCTAGACCATGAAACTTTCAAGAGAGGACTTTCTTTCAGACCCACCACCTTGGACACATCTATACTGTGAAATTAATGCAGCTTGACACCACTTTAACTTCCATGATTCAGTGCTACAAGTTTGACAAGGTCTTTAGCTTTCTCTGCTAAAGTGTGCTGGTGCCACACCAAACTCTATCTCCCAGGGCTCCGGAGCATTGAGATTTGGCAGTTAAAGTGATGTCAAACTGTATTGATTCTACAGTGTAGATGCACCTCTTGTTAGGAAAGAATTGTGGGTAGACAAGATTGGGCCTCATCAATGTTCACCCCTAGGTTTTTAAAATCTGAAGTTTTAAAGAAAGGAGCTTTTAAGAAGATGCCATATTGTTTTAAATTATACTGTTATCATCAGTGTTTAGTTTTAATATTATTAATATTATTTAATATTATTAATAGTTTGATTGTATTTTAATGTTGACTTACTATATATTTTAACTATATTATCATTGTTTTAATATAATAGCTGCCTCTAGTCCCAATCTCAGAGAAAGAAGAAGTATAAAGATGATTATTATAATAATGTCCAATATATTTGATTTGCTGTTGAATCATTTCATTTTTGTCTTCACATGTGATATCCATAAACCAATATATTCTTTATTATTCGTTCACTACAGCAACACCAAAATCTACAGTTGGGCAATGCTTTACCAAGACTTCTAAAGTTTCCCACCTCTGCCCCCAATTCTGACCTGTTGTAAAAAATAATCTATCTTTGTATTTGATATTGTGACTGTGTTCAATTACTGCTTTGTTCCTTTGATTAATATGCTGGGTCTGATCTGTGCCTCTCATTTCAATGTGTTTTGAAATATATACCTTTTAGAATTTCTGTATTTAAATCTGTGCTCAAAATTTGCATTTTCCACTTGGTGTTTACATAGACAGTTTTTAAGGATATTTGTGCCTTAATTCTAGCCATTCAGTAGCTTTCAGTAATGCAAAGAGAATATACCCGTTCGTATTTGCATTTTACAATCTAGATGCATCTTATTTTATTCCTTTGATTTACATTATGGATTCACTTGGGGCAAAGATTTTATTTTAGTTATCTGTGAAATACTAGTCAGATGTTCAATGCTTTATCCTTTTTAAAAAATGATGAGTGATCTGGAAAATCGGCTAAAGCTATTAGAGTACAAAGAATCCTTTTTTAACAGGGAAATGATAACATTGGCATTTTCAGATGTGTACACTGAATTAGGCAGCCATTTTAAACTAGTCCTGCCAAGACTTGTTTTAATTCTCTTGTTCCAGAAAGTTGCATGAAGAGCAAGTCCAACCTGCTTGTGAAACCTGTATGCCTAACATAATAATACAGGTACTTTCTCTACAAACTTGGCTGCTTCGTGGCTAATAGGACACAGGCACTTATCACTGCAGTCATAAACAAAATAATATTGAGACCTTTTTGTGTATTGTATTTTATTTTTCTTTCTTTCTTTGGCAGTTATGGAGCAAAAATCCGTGCCCCCCATGCATTGGTAATGACATTTCTCTTCAGGAGCGGAAGGTACATTTCTCTGTCTGAAATCTTTGAAGCATTTTTTTACAAGCTTGTGATTTGAATTATTTATGAGGGCAAATGAGGTTAAGCTCTTCTAAATGTAAAAAAAAATGCTTTCTGTATGTATCAAACTTGTTGAGATGTATTTTCCATGTGGTTTTCCATTCTGTGCATTGCTCTGACAGGTTACCAAGGTAAAACATTTATTGTTGTTAACTGCCATCAAGTTGACTTTGATTTATAGTAACCCTATGAATGAGAAACCTGCAAGTTACCCTCCTCAGGTCCTTCAGACTTAAGGCTGTGGCGTATTTGAGTCCATTCATCTTCAATCCAGTCTTCTTACCTTCCCAAGTGCCTTCTACCTTACCAAGCATTATTTTATTTTTTTAGTCAGTCATGCCTTCTCATTGTATCAAAGTACAACCATATGTCCAAAGTACAAATTCAGTCATCTAGGCTTCAAGGGAAAGTTCAGGCTTGATTTGCTCTATGACTCATTTCTTGGTCTTTTACCAGTCCATGATTACTGTAGCATCAGCACCACACTTCAAATGATTTTCTTTCATCAGCTTTCTTGGAGGTATCAGTACGATCTTACGCATGTCTTCTCAGAAAAAAATAAAGCAACTGCATTCAGTGAAACTTGCTTCCAAAAAGTTTATAAGGCAATCCCAAAGAACATCAGACTTATAATTACAAATGGGGGTAAGACATCAGGAAATGGGAGAAATCAACCACTCGGATGGGTTATACACCCCTGAAAGAGTTATTATGGAGAAAAGGTATCCCATCTGAAGACTTATCACCAATCCTTGTTTTCATAACAAGCCAATTTTTTCAAAGTCCAAGTTAGTTAGTCCGGCTAGTTAGAAAGTGAGGTGACATCTTCTGAACAGGGGCACAGACTGCAAAACAAACAACACAAAGGGTGTTAATCCTTCCCTATGCTATCCAAAGCTTTTCTGTGTGTGTGGCTGGAATTACACTTAAAAATGTACATGTTCCAACTTACAAACAAATTCAACTTAAGAGCAAACCTAAATAACCTATCTTGTTTGTAACTCGGGGACTGCCTGTAGAGAAGTCTCATTACTTCCAGAGAATACTCATACATAAAATTATATTAGATATCATTAATATGTATGGCTGAATTTCAAGTAGGACAAATAGGCCAATCACTATATTAGGTGTGAAGAATATCTGACTGGGGGAAAGATTCAGTCTTTCAAAGTTCTTCAGATGGCCCCCTATTCCTTCCCTTAATATCATTGTCTGTTGTTTCCAAGCTCTGTTATGTCCCCACTCCAATCCTGAAAGTTGAAAAGGCATTTTCTAGGCGTGTTACTGAAAATAAGACTTAAATAATATTAAATAATATTCTTGTATTTTAGGTCTAACCTTTTTTTTATCTTCCCCCTGGAATGTGAACCCCAAGATTATATTTGATCTGGGTTTTTTAAGTGCTTCCCAGCATGATATTCTCTTCTCCTACAGAACCTGACCCTTTCAAATGTCCACACAGTCTGAGAAGTCCCCCAGCCATTCTATGCCTCCTGAGGAGTAGGGGGGATAAAATACCAAGTTGACTGCGTTTTCATAACTAGTGGCTACATCAGCACTGAGACCTCCAGAGGACCTTACTAGATCTCAGCACTGCTGTGATAATTTTGTGTCCGGCTAGTTAGACCCTTCTGTGCTCTACCCACTCTCCATGAGTCACAGGCTACATCTACACTGGAGAATTAATGCAGTTTGATACCACTGACTAGTACTACCATGGCTTACTGCTATGGAATCGTGGGAGTTGTAGTTTGGGTGGCGCATCCACACTCTTTGGTAGAGAAGGCTAAAGATCTAGTAAAACTACAGCTCCCAACATTCCATAGTGTTGAGTTATGGCAGTTAAAGTGCCATCAAACTTCAGTAATTCTACAGTACAGTAGATGCACCCACAGAATGACCATGCAAGAAAAGAGACCTCTGAGACTGTATGGTAAGTGTGGAGGGTAAGAGAGGTATATGGCTTAGGTCAACGTATGTTTGCATGTGAAAATGTGATGCTGTGTTGAGCCATGTGGGATTGTGGTTTTTAAGTGTAACTTTTAAAGTACTGGTATTCTGTTTTTGAGTTGATGTGAGTTCTAATTGTGGGATATCTCAATGATTTCTTTTCATGTTCCATTTCATTGTAACCTCATCATTTACCATTCTCCCTCCCCCACCAAGTACATGTGTGTGTGTAGAGAGAGAGAGAGAGGTGTTAATTTTCAAGTCTTAAAAGAATATACTGGTTTGGTACAGGAATTTCTAAAATGTTAAGACTAACAAATTCTATAGATTACTATGAATATATTATCTCATTTTAATTTTCATTAGCTTTAAATATGTCTTAACTGCTTTTTTCTATTGACACACAATGGATTATGGGTATTTGAGCTTTAGATTATGTGTAATAATAATTAGTTATGTGTATTGATTCTTCTCAATTTCCCTTTTTCAGTTTACAGGAGAAATTGAAAGCTATTTTTTGGGCCACTTATACTCATTCGAGAAACCTGGCGTACTTCGTATTCACATACAAGGGTTTAATGGCCTTACAGTTGCGAATGCAGGGAAAAAAGATTCCAGTTCACTCCTTTCTTGCAGCCTGTGTTGGGGGCTGGTTAGTGTTTGGGGAAAACAATAATATTAACAGTCAGGTAAGCAACAGCTGAGTTCTTTGGATTCTGTTTCTGGCTTTCCATTCAAAGTTACAAATCAAGTGAGACTAGTGATTGATGTTGCTTTTCTTTTGTTCCCGTGCTCTGAATTTATCTTTATGCATTTCCAGTTAAAGCTCTTGGGAATAATAAAATGAACTACACCAATAGCTACTGCATCTTCCAGTCATGAAGGTGCTGAAAAAAATGGGAAGGGAAGGGATTTGTTAAAGTACAGGTAGTCCCCAAGTTACAAACATTTGACTTGCATTCCTAGTTACAGACAAGGATGAGACAACAGGAAGTGAGAGGAAATCTTCTCCTAGGAAGGAAAATTGACCCTTGAAAGAGTTATTGTGGGGAAAAGGTGTCTCCACTGAAGCTTTATCACCAGTCCTTGTTTGCACAACAACCCAAAATTTTCAATTCTCAGAGGGGCCAGAAAACAAGGTGAAATCTTCTGAACACGGGTGCAAGCAGCAAAACAAAGATTACAAGAGTGTTAGCCCTTCCCTACGCTATTCAAAACTAAAAAAAAATGCACTTAAAAAAGTATGTGTTCTGACTTACATACAAATTCAACTTAAGAACAGACCTACAGAATCTATCTTGTTCATAAATCGGGGACTGCCTGTACAGAGTGTTTGCTACAACTCTATCCATTTTTAGCTGCCTATATAGATCAACCAAATGCAAATATAACTGTAGTAGAACAACCGCTCTACTTCTTCTTGGACAAACACATTGCCTCTGAAAAGTTGCAGTTCATGATATTATTGTAGAATAAGAAATTTATGATAGAAAAAGCACCTGTTTATCCTGATATTTCCAAATGATGAGACGATTAGAGACTCCAGGAATTAAGTGCAGGTCAACCCCCCCCCCCCCTCCAAAATATTGCAACTGAGCAAAGATTGCAAATGTAACCATTTTTTTTTTTCAGCAACTATATTTTGAAACAAATAGAATCATAGAGTTGGAAGAGATCCTAAGGGCCATCCAGTCCAACTGCATTTGGCTATGCAGGGATACGAGTGCACAAGTTTATTCGCTGCTTAGACCATAGGTCTTTCACATATAAGGCAAACAAAAAACCAGATTATTAAATACATTATAAAATACACCATTAAAGTCCTGTATAAATTATTAAAATGCTACATGTATCAATGACGAGACACGCCCTTAAAATATTACATACTGCATGGACTAGCACCTGCATAATTAAAAACCAGGTAAAACCAAGGAAATACAGCATCATTAAAACTTAAGCAGGGAACACCTTGGATATAAACAGCTACTATTAGTTAAAAGCACCCCCAGCATAGTCGACCGCAGTATCAGAAATTAGTCTTGCTAGGATTTTCTGTGTTGCCAGGGCATAGAGAGACACCTTATGAGTAACCACAGGGTTAGTGTCAGCCAAGAGATAGAAAATCTTTCCTGACACAGTATAGGCCCCAGGATTTTAGTTCTTGGCTCAGAATACAGAGGGCAGGGAAACAAATAGTGAGGCAAATCCTCACTATTTGGGGCCCCACAACAGAGAACCAGAGGGGTGCCCGTGTATCTACCATCAATCACTGCTGTGGGCATACTTTGGATACTTTGTAGGGATACACAATCAAAGCACTCCTGACAAATGGCCATCCAGCCTCTGCTTAAAAACTTCAAGAGAAGGAGATTTCACCACACTCCAACGCAACACATTCATATAAGCAGCCCATTTAATAGAATCTAAAAATACTGCAATAAGAATACCATTAATGTAACAACTGGGAGGTGATGCAAGTGAAAGATTGTTTGAAATAATTGTGTCTTTTGAGTATGCTATTTGCCTTACAATCTTACAAATTTCCCCTATTACAGATAAACATGTACCTGTTGTCTCGCATCCTGTTTGGCTTGTCTCGGTTGGCCGTGGAGAAAGGTTACATCCCAGAGCCAAAACGCGACCCCTTCCCACTCTTTGGTGCTCTGGTTTGGGGGATTGTTCTCTGGCTCTTTGAGTATCACCGACACACTCTACAACCATCATTGCAATCTTCCATGACCTACCTGTATGACGACAGTAATGTCTGGCATGATGTTTCTGACTTTCTTGTATATAACAAAAGACCCGCTGTGAAATAGTCTTGAAAGGTTTTTGCACAATGGCACATTCCAGTAGCAGTGCTTACAGGTTTTTTTGCCTGTACACACAAGTTTACTATGGTTAGCATTGAATGTGAACCTCTACTTGAGCCTGGCCATAGTGTTTTGTGTAAGCTGCTGGTTTCTGTTGGTTAGAGCTTGAAAAGGGGTCACTGCAAGCAACATGTTTTTGTGAAGCGTTTCTTTGTTCTGCAAGAGACCTTGTTTTCTTTTCCAAAATAAAGTTGTAGAATTGCCTCGTGGATGGGAAAACAAGTTATTCGGTGCACTAGGCCAAAGTGCAAAAAACCTCCTTACATTTTCTAAAGTAATAACTATAGAACTACTTAGAAGATGGGAAAACAAACTATTAACAGTTTCTCTGAAAACCTGAAAAAATATAATTAAATATTAAATTAGCAATAAAAAAATAAGACAGTTTTCTCCATGATATATAGCACTATATAAAGCTCAAGTTTTGGATTTTTGTGTGTAAACAAACATGGCACTTGGAAACTTACAATGTATCTTCTTTGTATATTTTCTATTCTCTTTGAATTATACGTAGCAATCTGTAAAGGTTAATTTTAAAAAGTAGCCTATTTTTTTAAAATATAAGCTACAGAGGTTAGGGTTGCTAATGATAGATGCACCCAGCACTGTGGTAGGTTTTTAAAAGGTATAATCAGCACGGTATCAAAAAGCCAGAGATTGGTTATATGCACATGATTAATTTTCTGGCACCTTCAAGGTTTAAAAGTCCAAAAAGACTATAGGAGTGGTGGCAAATTAATTATCTATTGTTTTGTGATGTTCATCATTATTTGGTGTGTGTGGGCATTAATACCAGAATAATTTTATTTGCTGTAGCTGTCACCTCACAATAATATGCAATTACAACTGTTTGTACTTGTGGAAAATTATACTGTGGTGCTAGTTCGTCTTTGATCAAATACTGTTAATTAGCAATCTACTGTCCTAGAAGCAAATGTTCTAAGTGGATCATTAGGCTGGTTCTGTCATCATACTGTCTTTATCAGAATGTTTATATGTAGAGAAAGCTAGGAAATGATTAAGAATTGCCCAGATTATTAGCCCAATAAGTGAAAGCATAGTCCCATTGCTTGGTTTGGCTAGAGCAGGTTTTCTTGCTTGTGGGGACAGGATAATGTGGGGAGAAAAGTACTTTACTGTTTTATTTTTCAGGGTAGCTTGAGGAAGGAAGGATTTTGAAAACATTTACTCTCATAGAAAATTCAAAGCTTCCCAAATATTACTTCCAGTGTGTAGTCTCTCTGCTTCAAAATAAGTATTAGGACCTCATATATACTAAATTTGAAATGGCCCACTATATAAGTTACACTGTATGACTGCAATTCTTATTTCAATTTAGAGTAGTGAACATGAGCTCAGTAGGTCTGCTGTGGAGAAAGTGTACCCAAAACACAGGTACTGGTTATGGTCTCTTTAAGTGAGTGTAAACGTGCATTCTTTTATATGTGTTGTTTAGACATGAATTGTTAGCGGTAAAATGAGGACATGTTGGTCAAAGAGCATGAAAATGATTACAAAATATGGTTTTGGTTATTTTCTAAAAGAAAAAGACTGGTTTGGAGTTTTTCACCAAATTTCTCAATATCTTTGCTTGCTAATCTTTTGGTTTGTTTTTTTAAAAAATCTCTGAGGGCCAATGATTTTACTTAATACTGTGTTTCCCCAAAAATAAGATACTTTCTTATATTTATTTTTCCTCAAGAAGATACACTATGGCTTATTTTCAGAGGATGCATTATTCTTATTAAGTACGGTACAACAATCTACATTTATTCAAATATAGTTAAGCCATCTTCTTCTGAAACTGTTGCTGGTTGGTACTGGGGGAAAGAGACCGGCCTCGCTGGGCCCTGGCTGGAGGAGGCTACCAAAGCCGGCAGCACTGTTGGTAGTGTTCGCACGCGGTGAGCGCTCCAGTGTCCCCGAGTGGCTTAAGGAAGTTGCTTAAGAAAGCTGGAGGCAAAAGGAGATGGAGGAGGTGGCCTAGTGTTCACACTCGCCTTAGTTGGACCTAAGGAAGTGGAGGAGGAGTAGGCGGCCTCACTGGGCTCCATCTGGGCCTAGGAAATGATGAGTGAGGCTGGAGAGAGAGAGGGTGGAGGGTGCCCGGGAAGAAGAGAACCGCGTGCCCCAAGAAGGCCTTGCTGCAAACCTAATACTTCAAAACATTAAAAAGGAATTTAGAACATTTAAAGGAGACAAGTAGGGGCCCTTAAAGAAAAAATTAGGGGAGGGCACGCCTATCACTATGTCTTATTTTTGGCGTATGGCTTACATTGCGCAAATGCTTAGAAATCCTGCTCCAGTTCATTTTATGGGTATGTCTTATTTTCAGGAAAACACAGTATTACAAGAACAGCCTACCGTTGAATACAGTATTTGTAATATTTTTGCAGTTGCTTTTCCCACTCTCAGCACTCATCTGCCCTGCACTGTTTGCTTGTTTGATGTTCATTATCATCATATACCCTTGAGTCCTCAATAGATGATTTGTGAATTACTGTTTCCTGGTCAGCTGCATTTTACCATCACACATAAAATCTTTTGCAAACCACTATATCACAAAACTGACTTATAGATATAAAAGTCCATATTCCTCAACATTGGCTGTCTTCATTAGCTTTACTGAACTCTCCCAACCCCTTACCAAAACAAATTTTGTCTCCTTTATGTAACAACCCAATTTTCTATTGCCCACATCCCAACAATTGCCGATAATTGTTCCTGGCTAGAGACATAGCATGCTCTTAACAGTGCCTGCAATATATTTCCTTAATTTCCATATATTTGCTGCCCTCGGTCTCCAGAATAGTAATACCAAGCTTTTTCTAACAAACTGTGTGAGACTCTAACTGTTTGCAATTCACAGAGCACAAAACTGCCATAAAACAAATCAAACTGTGATCCCAACACAGCAGCACCCTTTACATATCTGTCTGTGGCAATTAACTGTGCTTTTTACAGATTGCTCTCCTGCTGTGTAAGGCTAGAATGCTATGGCTGCAAAGTCAGTCAATTTCCCAGGGAGGTAGCGGGAATAATTTTCAACAGCATTTAACATCCACCACTGTTCCTTTCGCCCAGGAAGCGAGGTTGAATCCCTTCTGCCACTAATGTGGCTGAACAATGCCAGTGTGTGCTGAGGAAGTGAACTAGAAGTAATGGGTCTGTCTGAAGACCCTTGGATATGTAGGTTCTGTTCCTCACTCTTCCAGATTGTATTGTTTGGCAAGCTAAGTGTCCTGTTTGGTTTTCATGCTAATAAGAAAGAAACACAAACAGAAATAAGGAGACCGTTTGACAACCCACCTCCCAAGCAGCTCATCACAGCAAAATTAAGTAAGGCCCAACTATCCCCACTTGGAAGATCAAAACAGACACGCATATAAACTACAACGGTGGCTTCTCATTTGAGGGCCCATCTCTTTTGTGTTTTGTTCAACATGGGAGCTTGGTTCCCAATGCTGGGGACCTATCCACCCCTATCTATCATGCTGTTGTTCTGCTGTGCTTGAAAAATAGTGTTTCCACAAAGAGTTGAAATAATTCTAGATTGTAACTATATGCAGAGGTTTTTGGGGAAAGCAGAGACTCCAAGGTGAGAAAAATAAAACTGAATGGCCGCATCAGTTGAATTGCTTATGGAAATATGATATTGAACTCAAAAAAGCAAAACATTAGAACCCCTTTATGTTCTTGTACTTATTCTAAAGAATCTGGAGTATTACAAGATGGTCCATAGTAAGGCACATTTTCATTTCTCATCAAAACATTTTTATGAAAGCTGTTTAGAATAAGCTTCCTTGTATGTTTTCAAAAATTGATTGGCAGACAAATGAAATGTTATGTATAAGTTTAGGTAATTAAATAGGAAAAACAATCTGTTAAAAGTGCCAAGGGTCTGTAAGTGCCTTTCTATTAATCAATGTGTATCCCTGTAAGAAAATCTTTTTTCTTCATACCTTGTTGCTTTTTTACTAAGTCAACCACTGTATGTGATACTATACCTACGCTGAACTATACCTACACAATTTTACAGGGGTGAGGAATGAAATGTGTACATATGCAGTTGTATGACATTTATATATGTTTCTCTTCTCAAGTAGATGGGCATTAGAAATAATCAGTTACATCTCCCTGACAAATACCATATTTTTAAATAAATGTGTTATGTTCTATTCTCCAGAATTCCTACAGGAAAATGTCATATATGATATTTCAAAGCACTTAATAGGAAAACCCAAGTAGATACAACACTGTTGCTAGTTAGTAAAGCCTAGCCAAGAACACAGCTAGAGGATGCATTTTACTTGATATTGGAATAGCAGAAACAAATTATGTACTAAATATCTGCATTCAGATGCACTTTCTCTGTAAAATATGTTTTTCTCTTTTTATTGTAATTGTTATTTTGTAGGGAAGGTCAACATCCATCTTGTAGATTCTTGTAAGAATCCAGAGAATTCCAGTTTTCATTCTGGATAGATGTGTCTGCTTATTATTGCTATAAATGTTACTGGCATGGAAAACACTAAAGGATTGGGAACGAAAAGGTGATTTAGAAAATGTAAACTCATTTTTTCTGGAGTTCTTCATTTGTATATCAGAATTCAGCAACGTTGATTTATGTTTTTCATACTCAAACAATAATTATTGTAGACTAAGCATTTTCTCCAATTGTAACATATCTGTCAACTGTAATTTGGCATCTGCCATATTCATTAAAATGATATGCAAATTATGGAGAGTGATTAAATATGCATATTAGCTGCAGCTGTCCAGCTGACTGTTTGCTAGTGGGGTCTTTCACAGTGACCAAGTTGCCTGTCTCTACTCTCAATGATTGATATTGCTAATTAAACAGATCTTAATTAGGTACATATTTCTAACAACCTTGGAAAGAAATTATAAGCAACTAATATACTCTTACAGCTATTTGGTATCCCAATTTACAATAGAAATTAGACAGTTGTGATCTCCAGTTAAAGCTTGCAGGGGATGTAGGTATCTTGCTGTTCAGTTCTGTTGCATATATTGGGTTCAAGTGGGCACTTAAAAGACATCGTGAACAGAAGTGCTGAGGTTTATTAAAAAAAAAAGTAGTCATATGATGTAGAGGTGGAAGAGACCACATGCGTCACCCAGTCCAATCTTCTGCCATGCAGGAAAGGCACAATCGGTTCTCTTGACAGATGGCCATCAGCCTCTGTTTAAAAGCCTCCAAGGAAGAAGTTTCCACCACACTTCAAGGCAGAGAGTTCCACTGTTGAACAACTCTTACAGTCAGGAAGTTATTCCTAATGTTCAGGTGGAATCTCCTTTCCTTTAATTTGAACACATTGCTGTGAGTCTAGACTCCAGGGCAGCAGAAAACAAACCTGCTTATGACATCCTTTCAAATATTTAAACGTGGCTATCATTATTATTATATTATTATAATAACTTTATTTGTACCCCGCTAGCATCTCCCAAGGAATTCGATGCGGCTTACAACAGGCTGAAGCCCAAACAATACAACAATACAGTACCTAGCAAATAAAACAGTTAAGCAAAACAATAACAATAGCAGTACAACAAGACATTATTAAAACTGGGCCGGCCGGAGTAGGGGTACAGGATTAAAAGTGCTGATGTGTCGGAGGGATATGGGATTATAATATAAGTGCGGTGTGCGGTGATCTTGGTTCTAACTAAAGTGCTTCTGGGATTTGGTACTGGGGTTTCTAGTCTGAAAAGGCACATTGGAACAGCCAGGTTTTCCCAGGTTTTCATTCTTCCTCAACATTTTCTGCCATTTTGAATTTTGCCATTCATAAAGCCGAGGAGAACTTATATGCTTGTGTTAGCTATGAAAATAGTCGAACTTAACTCATATCCTGAAGTATAATGACATCTCCCAGATTACAACTTTCATGAAACATGCACCAATGAGCTATGTTGTGTATTAGTTTGTATTGTAACTCTTCAGCTTGTGCACAACTCAGTGGTGTGGGTGAGAATCCATAAGGTCAACCTCAAGTGTCTACCTTACAAAGAATTTGAAAAAATAGGATTATACACTTCAGACATTGTAATTCTGATATGCATCTCACAAATGCATCTGTGGAACAGACAGTAATCTCTTCAGAATTCCTTCGTTTGGGCCAAGCTAGACGCATACATTTTTATATCTTGCTTTTGGCTTTTTCTTCTCAAAGGGAACTGAGCAAAGGGTTGTGAAAATGTTTAACTCTTTTCCCTACCTGTTACCTTTTAACAACCATGGACCCTGAATTGCTTCCAGCAAGGAAATGAGGTATCCCTCTTCAGTAGATAGACATACCTTGGGCAGCTCTGTTCTGTTTAAAGCAATAAAATAATTCCAAGTTCACCTATTTCTTTGAACAATGACAGATAGATATAAGCAAAGTGGCATTAAAATTGAAAACAATGAGCTTAGTTTCAATATTTTTAATTGTTTTTAATTTGGCTTTTGTTTTGATTAGATAATCTGATTAATTGTATTTTTATATTACAATGTATTGTGGTTTTAGCTGCAGGTTTGTAATCATGTTTTGAGTCACCTTGTATTATAAATAAATAAATAAATAAATAAATAAGCCTAGATTTAGGAGGATGCCAGTGGGATTTAAAAATAAAATAAATCATGTTCCGAATCACCTTGTATCATAAATAAAATACAAATAAATAAGTACATAATCTAGATTTAGGAGGATGCCAGTGAGCTAGAAGAAGCAGGTTTGCCCTTCTCATCTGCTCTTCCAGCCCTCTGAAATGCTACGTGAAGGCATGCCAACAGCTTCTAAGGGTTTGAATATTTCAGTGAAAGAGCATATTGATGAATTGGGATACTATCTCCTTGTTAATTAATGTGATGATTACTGTTTCGTTATTTTTTAGAAAAAAAAGTTTTGAACAACACAAAAATAAAGGCAGTTAAGTTTTGAGGAAGCTAAACAGAAGTATCTTGCAAGGAGTGACTTGGTTTATGGGAATGCCACCCACACCATTAATTTACTACTACAATCCTCACAAGAAGAAGGTACATTATAATGTTATGTAAGACTGAAATACAAATTAAAGTTTACATTGAAGGCCTGAATGTCTCCTATGTGTATGTGTATTTCCCAGTTACACTGTCCCATTGTCCTTGCAGATACAAGTGGAAGGAACATGGAGAGTGGACTTAGGGCCCTCCTTGCTATCCTTAATAGCAAAGTGAAGAACTTTTTGTTTCAGTAGGCCCGCGTTGGTTCAATCTTAGGGAGGAAAGGACTTTTCAGAATGGGCCATTGTGCTTTCTGTTTTGAATGTTGATACTTTAAATTGCTTTTAATTCTATTCATTAATTTAAGTATACTCTTCGCCTTTGTATTATGTGATTTTTTTTTCAACACTATCACTTTGACCTTTGTAAACAGATTTGAGTTCCAGACTGGGAATTTTTGGCATATACATGTGTATGTGCTTTCAAATCATCTCTCAGTGGTGACCCCATGAATTTCATTGCATTTTAATAGATAAGGGGGTTGTTTGCCAATTCTTTCTTATGAAATATAAACCTATAGTAGCTGTCATTTGTTAGTAGTCTCCGATCCAAGTACTAACCAGGGATGATCCTGTTTAGCTTCCAAAATCAGATGAGAATCTGATGCCTTTACGGTTTTTTGACAGTTTAGGATTTCAGGTCTGTAAAATAGTAATAACAATTTTATCCAAATGGCTACAGGCAACACAAACCACAGAATTCACTTGGGTCTCTATTTGGCTGATAGCCCAGTTTTTATCAGATTTCTTTGGTGATTGCCTGAATTGACTGAGATCTTTGCGAATTCTGAAACTTTGTTTTCTACAGCCCATTACCTATAATTGTAAAATAGAAAAAAATGATATAACATGCTTTGGTTTTTGTTTTGTGGAGAATTTTTTGGATAGACGTAACATCTGCAAGCCTAGTTATCCCTTGCAGGGATGGAGCTTGCTAACTTTGAGGTGCAAGGGATTTTGTGCAAGACCTGCCTCAGCGGGATTTCAAAAGGGATGTACTGCTCACTCCACTGTCAGTTGCCAAAAATTGTTATTAAAGTGTCATCCACTATAGAGAAGGTCCCTGAGCCGCCGCCCCGCCCCCCCCCCCGGGGGAGGGGGGGGTTGAGAAGGGCGGGGTACAAATGTTTGAAATAAAATAAAGAAAAGTTCTGTAAAATGTTCTTGTAAAGACTGCACATGAGAGGGATTTGTTACCAGTAAGTGTTTGAATATTTTACTTATTTAATGTACCTATATATACGGGGTCACATAAAACTTTCTCGAGCCAAAAGGGGTCCAGAGTGCAAAAGTTTAAGAAGCCCTGCTCCTGACTGTAAGGTAGGTGAGGCTGAAAGTGTCTGCTGCAAAGTAACCCAGCATAGATCAGAATCTCGACTCACCCATGCTCCAAGTCAAATCACGGCACCACTGGGCTCTCATAGGAGCTAACCAGTTTGACTTTGGATTCATTTTAATCTGATGTGTTTCCTTTGACAACCAGCTCTGAAGTGCTAGAATCATGTAATGTTGAAGGGAAACTGCCCCCTTTTCTCCCCAAGGAGGAGTGGCTGGTGAACTGCCTGCCTGCTTCTTTCTCTCTCCAGGGGGTGTGGGTGTGGGATTAAGCAGATCTGCTCACCCTGAATAAACTTACCCCATGGATTTGAAATTAAACTTTTTAATTCCACTTGGCGTTTCTGAGCTCCTTGCCAATGAAGGCTGCCTTGCTTTTTAAAAAATGGCATCTTTTGTAACAGTAGGAGGAACAGCTGGTGCAGCAGCTGTGTCCAAAAACTGCACAGTAAGGGAGTTGCAGAGCCTCCATGGGGGAAGGGACCAGGCAGAGCTACCACAAAACTCTGCCCTAGTTTCTCACAGATGGGGGTGGGAGGGTGGGGAGGGGATGGAAGCAAGCTATAGGCTGCTTCCATCTGGCCAAACTGTTGCTCGGGTTAGAATCACACCAGTGGTTGGGATCGGAATTGTACTGTACATACAATGACTAGATTAAGTTGTTTATTTATCTCAAGGTATAAAAGTGACCAGGTTTTTACTATCTGCCATTTAAAGCATGCTATTTAGCACCAGTCTTGTAATATCAAAGTGATAGCATCTTAACTTGAGGTTCCTATTCATGCAACCACAGTGATGTGGCACATTGATGAAGGCACATCCTTATATGGTCCCACGACACTGCAAATTGTTTGCAAAAGAGAAATGACATTTGGCTGGATCATGAACATGCATCCCACAGACATGTGGAATTATACCACAAAGATGCCAGTCCTGAGTTCTATCTCAATGCAAAAAAGGCCTGATACAGCCAATACTGCGCTTCCAGTGGCACAGTAGATTGAGCTGCTGAACTTGCTGACCAAAAGGTCGCTGGTTTGAATCTGGGAAGTGGAGTGAGCTCCCTATTAGTCCCAGCTTCTGCCAATTTAGCAGTTCGAAAACATGCAAATGTGAATAGATCAATAGATACCGCTCCAGCCAGAAGGTAATGGCGCTCCATGCAGACATGTCAGCCACATGACCTTGGAGATGTCTGGACAACGCCGGCTCTTTAGCCTAGAAATGGAGATGAGCACCAACCCCCAGAGTCGGACACAACTGGACTTAATGTCAGGGGAAAACATTTACATTTTTACAGCCAATACAAAGTGGGAGAAGACAATGGAATGGAAGGATTAATGAGAATATGATTGGGAGTAATGAGAATATGGGTGGAAAAAACAATTTCT